CAACCGTATCGTTGCCTTGAAGAAGATTCGCCTAGAAGCCGAAGATGAGGGCGTCCCTAGCACTGCCATTCGCGAGATCTCCCTTCTCAAGGAAATGCAGGACCCCAACATTGTTCAGCTGCTGAACATTGTCCACGCCGATGGCCATAAGCTCTACCTCGTCTTCGAATTCCTCGATCTCGATCTTAAGAAATACATGGAGGCCCTGCCTGTCAGTGACGGTGGGCGAGGGAAGCCTTTGCCCGATGGGTTCAAGGCGGGTGCAACACTGGGCCTGGGTGATGCTATGGTCAAAAAATTCATGGCCCAACTTGTTGAGGGAATCCGATACTGCCATAGCCACCGAATTTTGCACCGTGACTTGAAGCCTCAGAATTTGTTGATTGACCGTGAAGGCAACTTGAAATTGGCCGATTTCGGTCTTGCTAGAGCGTTTGGTGTTCCTCTTCGGACTTACACTCACGAGGTACGCATTGAGTTTCCAATTCCATTGGTGGAAGTCCCCCTTTATTAACATGATCTACAGGTTGTCACTTTGTGGTACCGTTCTCCAGAGATTCTGCTGGGTGGACGTCAGTACTCCACTGGTGTTGATATGTGGTCCGTGGGTGCCATTTTCGCAGAGATGTGTACACGCAAGCCTCTCTTCCCCGGCGACTCTGAAATTGACGAGATCTTCAAAATCTTCCGGTAAGGGTGGTTCTTTAATGCTCTATGTTCAACCGTATTAACGAATTCCAGCATCCTTGGTACACCTGGTGAAGACACTTGGCCCGGCGTGACCTCGTTCCCCGATTATAAAGCCACTTTCCCCAAGTGGAAGCGCCCTGATGTTGAGATCGTTCCCGGGCTGGAGGAGGCTGGATGTCAGCTCTTGGAGTCTCTGCTCGAGTATGACCCTGCACACCGACTATCGGCTAAGCAGGCCTGTCTCCACCCGTACTTCCGCAACGGCACCGCATACTACTCCGGACGTGGTCCAAGTAACGGCTTCCACTAGTGTAATGACTCCACACCTTTTATGTGTAGTCTTATTTACCCTGGGGAATGGTTTCGGGACGTGTTTTCTTTCTCCTCTTTCGGCGTTCAATGGGGAGTGATATGGAGGGCGGGCTTACTGGATACGAAAGTGCTTTAGTCTTGAATAACAGGCGTACATACCCTTTCTACCCTGTAATCAGATATGACAAATGACGTTACGGTACCATTGTATTCAGCTTTTTCAGCCTCAGGTTACTATAGACCATAAGCTAAGTGCAGCCCTGGAAGTTAACCGTTATTGGGCCCCCATGTCAGCTGAACTTCGCCCCACAAAATTTGGAATGAAACATGCTAAGCATCTCATCCAAGTTTAGTCTCTCCATTCCTTGCTTTCTCACTGCTTTCTGACTTCTCTATTTGCTCGAAACCGAGTCTGGTCCAGTCTAAATATGACTCGGAATGCATGCTTATTCGTTTTGTGCCCATTACAGGAGGGGGCTGAGACGCAAGAGTGGGGGCCAAAAGCACCCTTTGTTGTCAGATTCGCTCGTTCGCCCGCTAGTCCAATGCACATGCAGCCTTACGATGAACGCTTTTATGGAGAGTAAGCCCAAGCCCAGCGAATCAATACGAGGCAATGAAGGCTGAGGCTATGTTCTCGGCTCGGAGTGTCCGTGTGAGGGGAAAATTGGGGATTGTCTTCTTCCCAAACTCTTATTTAGAAGAGCAACCCTGTCTCGTTTCTATTTTCATCAGTGATCGTCGCCATTTTGGGGGGTGATTAGTGCGATATAAGAGAAATAGCCGCCCAAAGATCCCCACCGTTGTGCTTCCTCGAAGGAAAAAAAAAGACAACAAAAACCATCCCATCCAAGCAAAGAGCATCAACCCAAAGACCTCCAAACTATGGAGTTCGACGATGAGATGGGCTATGCCGTAGCAGGACCTGGCTCCTCGCGCTCAAATAGCCGACCGCCCCGCGCACGCTGTCAAGCTCCCCAGGAATCAGTCAAGCAGTTCTGGGAACAATTCAACACCAAGTACCCTGGCAAAGTATACACGGTGCTCCCGGACAATCCGTATGCACGGACACGGGCCAAGCACGTACCAAGCGGCCGTATCCAGGGCCACGAGGCCGTCAAATCGTACGAGCAGGCGTACCAGGAATGTCAAAAGTCCGTTGATCGTATTGTCAAGGAGTGCGAGCGTGTGAACCAGAAATATTCAGACCCGCACTTCGATATCGAGCTAGACCTGAAGTCTGGTCGGAGACACTATCTCGATGGATTGGATAAGGAGAATGTGGAGTTCAGGCCCCAGGGGGTGAAGAGAGTGACTGTTAGTTCGAAGACGATATGCCATGGAGTGGATTGCAGGTCGCTAACGATATTCATGTAGGAAATCTTTGAGAACCCGCAATTCTTTGTTAACGGGCCTACCGCATCAGATGTGCGACAGGGATATGATGGGGATTGCTGGCTCATGGCTGCGCTTTGTACTATGGGCAACAAGGAAGAGCTGATTAAGAATATTTGTGTTGCCCGCAATGAAGAGGTTGGGATTTATGGATTTGTTTTCCATCGGGGTAAGCTTGTACTTGGAGTCCGATCAGACATGGAATCATGCTAACTTCAATCACCAGACGGCGAGTGGCAGCAGTGCATTGTAGATGACAAGCTTTATCTCCGCGCTGCTGACTACGATGAGTCTGTCATCGAGCGACCCATCTGGGACGACATCAATCGGACTGATGCGGAGGAAGAGTATCGACGAGTCTACCAGACCGGCTCGCGGGCCCTGTACTTCGCACAGTGCGTTGACGACAACGAGACTTGGCTGCCTCTTCTAGAGAAAGCCTTCGCAAAGGCCCATGGAGACTATTCCGCGATCGAGGGTGGATTCGTTGGTGAAGCCATCGAGGATCTCACCGGAGGCGTCACGTCTGAGGTGTTATCCAGCAATATCCTGAACAAGGACCGCTTCTGGACCGAGGAAATCATGAAGGTCAACAAAGAATTCCTTTTTGGTTGCGGGACTGGCCTCTTTGCAAACTGGTTAGATCCCAAGTACCAAGGTCCACCACGGGACCGGAAGGGTATCGCGGAGGGTCACTCCTATTCCATCATGGACGCCCGGGAGATTGAAGGGCACCGACTGCTACGACTGAGGTAGGTGCACGAATGCGCTAGTGAAACGAACCAGAAACTCACAGTATCTAGGAACCCATGGGGTCGCAAAGAATGGTACGGTGCCTGGGGTGATGGATCCAAAGAATGGACGGCCGAGTGGATGGAAAAGCTTGGCCATAAATTTGGCAACGATGGTGTATGTATTCATCCATTGCGCTTTCACTTAATACGCTGACCTGGCCCAGCTCTTCTGGATCTCTTATAAAGACCTGCTCAAGAAATACCAGCACTTCGACCGGACTCGCCTTTTTGGGCCTGAATGGACCATTACACAGCAATGGACTACCTTGAATGTCCCCTGGTCCGCTGATTATCATACCACTAAATTCATGATGGAAGTGAACACCAGTGGTCCGGTAGTCATTGTGTTATCCCAGGTTTGTTTCTCTCCATTCACTCCTGCTCCTGTACAGTGGCTAACAGACACAGCTTGATGCGCGTTATTTCAAAGGACTAGCCGGCGAGTACAGCTTCGTGCTGAAGTTCCGCTTGCAGAAAGCCGGGGAACAAGATTATCTCGTGCGCAGCCATAGCAGCCATTTCATGGGCCGATCTGTTAACGCTGAGATTGACCTTGACCCGGGTCGCTATCACGTCTTGATGAAAATCACGGCCTTCCGCCACGAAGACGTAGACTCTACTGAGGAGATTGTCCGCCAAGTTGCCTCGACGAGAAGAGAGAAACTGGTCCAAGTCGGCCTTTCATACGACCTCGCACACGCGAAGGGAATGGTGGGTGAAACAGACCAAGAAAAGGGGGAACAGGAGCGTTTCAAGGCAGCCGAGCGGAGAAAGCTTCGCGATGACATTAAGAAAAGGATGCAGAAGGACTGGATCCGCCGCGAGAAGTCAGAAGCCCGACACCAGCGCATGGAAGCACGACGCGGGATCAGGACCCCAGGCAGCAGCTCCTACGATCCCAACCCCGAAGGCGATTCTGCCACCAGTCAAATTCTGGCAGATAAGCCGGTAGAGGACTCTCCTGTCGACGCTGGAAGCATCTCAAGTGACAGGAGTGAGAGCCGTATCAACGGTTCCGTCCCGACCATCCACGTCAACGGCGGCCACGGCCAAGGCCTGCACGCAAGACACGCGAGCGGTGGATGGCGACGTAGAACTGACTCGGTCCGTCCCAGTCTAGATACTCGTGTTGCTACGGAAGCTCTGGACCAGGGTGACCTTGAGTTACTAGAAGGGTTTGAATTTGACAGCGATATCGATATGCCTCCTGACGAGACGGATGTGAAGAATCAGCCTCCATCGATGAGTTCTGATGAGCCTCGTATTGACCCGTGGAATGCTGTCTGTGTGGTTGGCCTCCGTGTTTACTCCAAAGATCCGCAGTTGGTCTTGCAGGTTGTGCGTCCTGTGCCTGAGGATGATACCGAAGCTCCTCTAGACCGAGATGACCCTGCAGCGTCGGCGACTACATCTAAGTGAGACGATTATTCATGGAGGGACTCTTGGGGCAATCAGCTGCAGATTTAGTTCATGCTCATCGTGCTTTTTTTTGGTTTTGGTATGTTTTATTGAAATTGTAAAGCGAGAAAAATTGCTATTTATGCATGATTCGCTAGCTTAGCCCTTCATTTGATCGAAGAATAGTAGGGCCAATATAATGCTTTAACACTCCAGACTGTTAAATTTATCACAATAAAACATACCATGTACTGTTCTACTCTCGATATCTCTTTTCAACAATATCGTTTTCACGGCGAGTCCGCATAGGTTGCCATATTATTCAGGCATCAACTCCTTTCGGATAGCAAGGCCAACAACGCGATTCTTGACAAGTTTTATCAAACGTCGAGGGCATGCTCTGATAGTGCGATGCGAAGTATCATCTGCTCATCCCGTGGCATCGCCCTTTTCCTGCATCGCAGTAGAGGAGCTACCCGCATTTCCGTCGCGTGTTTCCAAAGCTCGCGATACTCGACTGTCGCATCCGATTGCACAGATGAGACACTCTCTCTTCCTATCGGAAACAATGGGGCTATCTCTCTGAAGTAATATATCACTTTCTCTATGTGCCATAGTTACTCAATGCTAACTTTGTCCCTAGAATTACGCGACCGAGCGCGTTGAGCACGTCTGACGAGGGACTGTCTCCAGAAGGCCCAAATGTAATCCTCTACCTTCCGCCTGGGCCTCTGTTCCAAGGAAATGGCATAAGCGCATCTCAAAATCATGATAATTTCGAATTTGATCACCAAAATATTGGCGATGCCAACGCCTTGGCACCTGTGGCAGATTCACCCCAGCATATCCTAGCATCTACCGCGTCTGCATTGGTAGTCACAGTCAACTACCGCCTCGGGGAGATACAAACACATATCCCCCCATCATCAGATAAAAGCTCTATTTCACAAGAGTCAATTGAAGTCCCAGACCAAACCCTGGGATCAAGCAACCCCCAACTCACCTCTTACAAATACCCAACCCCAGTGCACGACACACTGGCCGGATTCGACTGGATAAAAACTCACCTCCGACCATCCCAACTAGCTATCTTCGGCACACACATCGGAGGCTCTCTAGCTCTAATGCTAGCTCTAACAGAAGCGCAATCCATCCGCGCTGTTGCCGCCGTAGACCCCGTGTGCGATTGGCCTGGTTTGGATGAATACTGCACGCGCGAGAGCACTAGCACAACAATCAAGACAAGAGCAGGTGATAATAACAATACTACTGCAAGCTCAACAACATCAAAAAACAAACGACAACCAAGAAAAAAATCACCCGCACCACCAGACCTACTCCCCCTCCTCCAAGCACGCTCGAAATTCTTCTCAACACCAGAGCGCTGCTTCGACTCCTTCGCCTCGCCGATTCTCTTCCTCCGCTCCGCAGGCCGGGACGTGCCGCGCACATTCCCGCAGTATCTTACGGGGCCGGAGTATCCTGTCCCTGTTCTGAAGGAGAAGGCGCGGGTCACGACAGTTGCAGAGCAATACGCTGCATCGGATGATTTGATCTGGGATCAAGATGTGTATTCTGATATGGATGTCGACGACGTTGATGGTATTGGTGCTACTGTTACCCGGCGCCGGAAGGCGCTTTCGCGCTGGCCGCCGTATGGGTTGGATTATGGGCTTAGTGGGAAGACGTTCTCTGGGCCCGGGGATGGGATTGGGCGGTTGGAGATGACTTTGCCTTGGGTCCGGGTGTTTTCGAGGGATGATGGTGCTGCCTTGGGGTCTGGTTCTCTTTCTTCGTCTGCGATTGAGATGAAGAAGAAGACTAGAGAGGGCGGGAATGGGTCTACGGTTCTTGCTAGACAGGCTGATGAGATGGTTTCTGCTATGCGGCGTGCTTGCTTTTGGGGGCGGGAGAAGGGGGTTGGGGAGAAGAGGGTTACTTTGTCTCAGGTTCGGAGTGCAGATAATAATGAGGGAGAGGAAGTGGGGGATTGGTTCAAGGATGTGTTTCAAGGGACAATGGAAGATGTAGACTAAAATCTGCTTGCTGCAAGGAATGTAAGATCTAGTTTACATGTGAAATTGGATATGGGAGGAACTCATAATGGTCCTGGTTTTGAGATGTAGATATAATAGTACATTTATGTGAACAGCCTCCAATACATGGAATGGTATGTATCATTTGATTATGGGATATTCACTCTATCGCTCCCAGGGAGCAGGGGATGACAAACATGACAGACTCTATGGGTCGAGTACTCTCTATAATCTTGGAAGTATTCAGACCAGCAGACCAAAGAACAGTGTGACTAGTCGCGATTTCATGGTGGCATTGAGGTTCTGGTGTAGTTTTCTGATGGCCACCATCCATCAATGTCTGCGATGTCTGAGAGCATACTAGGGTCCTCCGGGAAGGGAGGGGATGGAACCTGGCCCATTCCATTCAGCGCATTGCCATTTTGACTCCCAGACAAAAGATGCATATCTGGATTTGGAATCCAGTTCAGATCGCCTATCTGGGAATCAGGAACTGGGACGGGGAAGGGGTCTTGTTCTTGATAAGAGCCCCGCTGGTGATATTGTTGATGAGGTATGGTATTCTGAGAGAGGTGGGAGTATTGGTTGGTCGCCACAGGCGTTGACTGCATATTGGGAGGGACCCCAGAAACAGATAAACGGGATTTCTTTCGCGAGTCATTTATTCCATGGGCATTGCGGGAATGCTGTATAGACGGCTTCTGCGAACCCAGCGACGCCAAATTAGCACTGCTGTTTTGGCGTTTCGCGGCTGAGCCAGATCGGCGCATATTTGCTTGCCAGCGTCGCTGGAGGGTAACAAGGTAGTCGCGGGTGCGCTTGGCATTGTCGAATGATTGGCCCAGTTCATCGAGAGCGCGGAAGCACAGATTGAGATATGCTGCCATTTCCGTGCTTCGGGAGTATGTCGGACTGTCACCCTGCTTGCCTGGGCTCACCGGGGAACTGGATACCGTTACGAAAAGAAGCATGAGTGCTGCACTGAAGATTATCGCTACCACTTGGTTGTTCATGCGACGGAAGGTGTAGTGTTTTTCGTAGAGATGGAGTAGTCGTGCAATGGCGGTGGCTGACTCCACGCACATGCGCCGCGCGTGGTGATACCCGGGGCCTTGTCGAGGACTGCGGGGCTGGATATAGCTTTTGGAGAGCCATGGGCGGTGGAAGAAAATAATGATCTGGTGGTATTGCATGCTGCAAGTAAAAGTTAGGCTGATTCTGGGCGTCTGTTGGGTTGAAGGAAACTTACTGGAGCATCATCAAATGAGGCAATATTGGCGAGGTATCATCGTCCAAATTAATCTGAAGGGTAGAAGGAAGATTTGCTTTCCAGGCGAACAAATCTTCTGTCACTTGGTAAGTGATCCTTTGCAAATCGTGCCGAGAGATGTCGGAACATCCATACCTAACGGCATGTTAGCATTGTACTGAATAGCGTGCAGAACCCACATACAAAATGTGACCAACTGGGGAGATCATCTCCCATAGAACAACAAATTGCCTGCATATTAGCTCCATGGGATTCCTCAGACCGTTCTGAATTAGCGCATGGGCGGCTTGATGGCCGTATGGATGCCAATTTTCTTCCTTTTCAGGGCAAAGAGAAGAGCCAGGTTTTGGAACACCTATGTCTCCAGCGTTCATGCGGAATGGGCGTCCCAAGTAGAAGCCCCAGAAACTAGCTACCGTTAGAGAAATCCATGGTGTAAAAAGTGTAAAAACTCACTGGTCTGCGACATAGCTTCCCCAAAAGGTTGCACGACGGACATCAGCCTCGAGCTGGGTGATTTCGCCCTTGTTCACGTATGCCGTCATATTTAGGTGTAAACCAAGATCGAAAGCAAGCCGCATAGACATTCCTGCAGAGTAATTAGGCAATGAGCATTGATCACTTCCCATGTCCAAGATATATACTTACCGCTATACAGCCAACCTCGAGCATCGCGATTTGATGCGCCTTCATGGCAGCTCATGATGACAAGGGCCTGGACAGTAGCAACACAAGGAGAATCTAGTTCAATTTCTAGAAGGGCTTTGGCACGATCTGCAAAGAATTCAGAGAGAGACTTGGGGAAAGTAATGAATGTGGGGTGATAGCGTGCCTCAAAGGCACTCCCGATCGCACACCTGCAACAAGTCAGTAAATCCTTTTAGCATCGGAAAATAAAGGTCAACTCACATTGCATTAGTTAAAACCTCCGAGTAGAACGGAGTATCATCCAATTCATTGCGCCATTTAGTTCGTGCCGTCATGAACATCTCTTTGTCGACAATGTATGTACTAGGGTTTTGCCAGGTGAAATATAGCTCCACGAGATGATCCTCAAGAGCTTGATCAACAGGTTGGCCAACCCTGAGATGATTCAGAATATCCTGACCATCATGGCGCACAGTCCGTGCGTCTGGTCGCTGCCGCTGCTGTGTGGCAGACACGTCCACCAGATTGAGGTTGGACGTGGCACCGTAGAATCGCAGATGGCCATCACCCGCAATTTTCAACGTGCCAATTCGGTGCGACAATTGCTCAATAACGTCATTTTCAGCTTCGTCCTCTTCACCGCTGTCCGATTCATTCTCCCCGTCATGCACCAACTGGCCTAGCAAAACCCCCGGCTGTTGGGCCATATCCATGCCAAGCTGATAGCTATCCGGGCTCAATTCAGTGTTGACGGGCATTCTGGGCATTGCATGGGCTCTCGGTCCTCCGTTGAGATTAGCGTAAATCGTGTCTAGACTTTCAGCTGTTGGCAAAGTGAAGCCCCATTGAACAAGGTTTTGATTGTCGGAAGCGCCTGGTACCATTCCAAAGGGATTCCAGCCTTCAGGCGACGGGGCCTTTCCACTAGACGCAGTATCTTGCCCTGGGGATGCACCAGAAGCAACCAAATTTGTGCTCGGGGTTGCTACCTTGGGATTTACGACAGGAGGATCTTGAGACGGGGATTTGCTTGGGCCTCCCGAGGCCCTTGGCTCATCCGGTGGTGGCTTTTCATCGGTCACTGCCGAGACTTGAGGGAATCCGCGTGGGATCTGGAGGGTTTCTAAAACCCTGTTCATGCCAGCCTCATCCTCTGGGTTCATTGGCGGTGGCTCCAGCCCCTGCTCCTTGATAAAATGACAAAGTTGGTCAATTCGAGCCGAGAACAACTCTGTTGATGCCCGAAGAGAAACTCTGGTTCATATTAGCCTTTGAACATTCGGTGATGTATGTCTATCAGGGCGTCTTCGTCACTTGGGCACTTCCAAATAACGAACAAGGTCATACTTACTTCCGCTTATCGTCTCCATGTTGGTATTTGCATTCTTTGCCCTTGCGTTGACAATTTTGACAGTTCGGAGTTGCTCCGTCACACTGGTAGCAAGTGGCACATTAGCTTATTTCAAGCCATTTAGGCATTTTGCCTCCAAATTTAGAGCACATACCCTGATTTTGCTCTCACGGCATGGCACACAGGCGGTGGTGACATGTTTACGGGGTGCTTTTTTTGTTTTCTCTGGATCGGGCGACATGGTCAAGAGGTCCAAGACCACGTCCTGGACGAATCTTCCCAGTGTTGAAGCTTGTGGTTGTGGGTTGAGTGCGTGGCGATGAATCCCCGCAAATAAGAGGGCAGATCACCTTAATTCATCCCGCATCAAAGATCGAATCCTCGAGATCGAAATTATTATCAAGCTATTACGCAAGTGAAAAAGGAAGTTTATAAATTTCAAAGGGGAAGATCCCCAAGATCAAAAATGTTCTGGGGGCGGGGTCTCCACCATTGTTGGCCTATGAAATGGTGGGGGAATAATCAACACGGGGTCAAGTGATGTGCTGCATTTTCAGACTTGGACTCAAAAGTTATATATAGCTTTGTACTTTGAACTTTATATAGTATTTCTACCAGTCCCCAGTGCGCTTAATCCCCTGGTTCTGCACCACTTCAATCCAATATCCATCGGGATCCAGAATAAATGCGATGTTGTTCATCCGCCCATCAGTCAGGCGCTTCTTAAAGTTCACCTTCAGAGACTCGAAGCGGTCGCACGCAGCGGGGAGGTCATCAACAGAGATACCTAAACCCCCAAATTAGTAACTCTAGAAAACAATTAGAAGAAATCCAGTAATCACTTACAGATATGACCGAAACCTTGGGGCTCAGTATTGCCGTTGTGGTAGACAGGGCCCTCTTGCTTCTCGGTACCATAGTTCCAGGTCAACTCCAGCAAACCTTCCCACTCCGCCGATCCGCTACCCTCCTTAATTTCGGGGTTGGACGCAGGGTAGCCCAGGAAATAAAGGTTAAACTTATTCTCTGGGTTCTCACTGGTGCGGACCAAAGTCATGCCCATGGTTTCCTGGTAGAATTTCAAGCTAGCTTCGGCATCCTTCACACGCAGCATGGTGTGGTTCAGTCGGTAGCTACCCGGGTCGGTGGTGGTGCTGAGATCCTTATCGGCGCGACGAATAATCTCAACCCAGTATCCATCGGGATCCTTGGCGAAGGCGATGTGTCGCATACGGCCTTCAGACAATTTTTTCTGGAAGGGGTAGCCGGCATCTTCAATGCGCTTGCAGGCAGCTTCAATGTTGTCAACCGAGATAGCAATGTGACCGAAACCACGGTACGGCTCTGTGTTTCCGTTCACCACACTGTAGTTGGGGTCATTCTCAGTGCCGTAATTGTGAGTCAATTCCAAAACGGCATTGCGATCGGTCCAGTGACGGTCACCTTGGAGAGAGGCGGGGCCGTCATATGCCAGGAAGTAGTTGCAGAACTTCCATTCAGGCATGTCGATCGTGTTGACCAGGCTCAAACCGAGGAACTTGTAAAAATCCACCGATTTCTGCGGGTCTTTGACCCGGATCATCGTATCTATAGTGTTCGCATTGTGTCAGTGATTGTGTCAAAAGATGTTGGAAGTATAGGGCACGAACGGTTGAGCTTATAGGTGGAGGTATCGGAAGCCATGGTTGCTATGGATCCTGGTAACTTGTCAATAATTGGACGATCAGTTGAACATGAATCCAGCTTACTGATTGGTAGAAAGAGACTTTGTTGGAGGACCCTGGCGGAAAGACGAGAGTACATTGAGGGAGGATGGGAGACCAGGAGGGGCAAAGAGCTTTTTTGTCAGCGGTTGGGGTGAGAGGGTGGGGCACATGACGCTATATCCAGTTTGTACGATATAGCTCTTGGAGCTGACAGAATTGGAGAATTAAGACTATACTGTATAGAACTGAGATCAATTAGGTTCCATAATTAGGTATATTACTCTTTATACGTTCTAGGCTGTGCCTAGTAAATGTGGATAATCTCAAACTGAACTACAATTAACCCAAGTATATAATACCCCCAATTGATAACATAATAACTGGGTAATATAGGCAAGGATAATGTAGACTGGAATATCCTAAGGTAGAAATTGGCTGATTTCGAGTTAAATAATTATATTACACATAGGATACTATTAAGTACATAATGCATTCTCCTGCAGTAACTAACTACATACGTAGTTATCGTAGTTATCGTTGTTATACCTCGGCGTTTCAAACGTCATGCGGGAACTCCAATCAACGGGACGATTATCTCCAATTCCTCTTCTCCTCTTTCTCCTCCACCTCCAAACACTCTCGAATCTCCTGAGTTCCCCCGATTCTCCTATTTTGCATAGACCAGGTTCGTGACAATCCTTGTTGCATGATCCTTCAAACTCTCTCCCCCGCTCCCGGTTGATCCCTTTCCTACCATTGGCCTTCATCCTCGCCCCGGCGTCGTGTCGCATCCCGTCTCCTCTCTTCAAATTTGGACTTCCTATTTTGGACTTTCTTATACTGCCGCGCTTAGCTCTCGCTTTCCCACATATCCTCCCCCTCTCCCTCTCCCAATCAAGTCTCTGCTCATGTGCACGCTTCGTCCTATTTGCCCGATCGGGGTGCTCCCATTGCGGAGCCGCCGCACACATCTCATGACATGCTGGTCGTACCGGGCCTCATAAAGCGCTGTTTTCCTGGCTTCTTCCTGTGTACCACCGGACGTGATTGGAATTATCGCGAATTTCAGGTTGATCCAGAGCAGCGCATTGAGTCAACGGTTCCGAACCGCTGCGTGTTCCCCTCATTCCCTGTCATCTACCTAGCCAAGCCCCTGTTGTGAGAATATTATCTTCCCTCGTGCCCTTATTTCTCGGTTTTCCTTTTGTGGGGAATAAACAAACGCCACATCATAATCTCTACCTATCGAGTCTGTATCTATGGGTGTGAAAATGGCTGAACCCGAACCTCCTCCAGTTCCCGACTTCTCTGACTCGATATCCGATTGCTCCTCAACAACTATATCCATACCTAGCTCCCCACCTCCAATCGAACCAACCTTCCTGCCTTACTGGGCCCGCTGCGAGACAAAGTGTGCTCAGAACCTACTAGACTACTCCGACGAGCCAATCGAATACGATCACGACGACGAGGACTATTGCGACAACTGTTTCTTTTTCCCGGAGGACTGCTCGTGGACGCCACCGAAAGATTGCATTGTGGTGACAGATTGCATATCATTACAGGAGGAACCCGAGATCCAGGTGGAGGAATACACGCCTTCGGCAGGCCAAGAAAGCGACACCGAAACAAACGCAAACACAAACACCGACACCATGATCCCCGGTCTCCCAGATATCAAGATGCTGGACGCAGAGGCGCTAAGCGACCTCTTGGAAGATAATCTGTCCCCGCCAGAGATCACAACGATCATGTATGCCCGCCGCGCTTCCATCGCGAAAAACACCTAATGACCGCATCTCTTTACAGTGTCTTCGCAACAAACGGCGCCGTCTTCGCCCACGGCTCCTCCCTCTCCTCACGTCAACTACGCAACCTCAGTGCAACCTACGGTGCCGCCTACACATGCTACGCCAAGACAGCCTCAAGCGGGAATCTAACGGGCGTCAACCCAGCCAGCCACCCCTCATCCTACGTGACCGCCAAATCGATGTCTCTAGGCGACGTAGGCTCAATCGTCTTCGAACTCGACGACTCCGTCGCAGTGGTAACCCGAATCGCGGATAAAGTCCTCGTGGCTGCGGTCGGCCCATCCAGCCGAGACGCGCCGGAACTGAATGGCGCCACCAATGCCGACTCTCTCGCCGATAACGGCATCCTTGATGTTAATAATGGAACGTCCACACCAGAGGGTTCACAGGGTGATATCTCTCGCACACTAGCTGCCGCGCCTGCTTCTTCGAACCCTCATAACGGCCATGGAGACCCGCAATTTGAGATCGACCGCAGCGCCGATCTTGCGCGTCTGGCTAGCTTAAACCTCTCCGCCTCGCCGGCTGTCTTGCTTGCATTGGAATCTAAATGTGCCGCGCTGGGACGATTCCTCGGGGAGAAACTGCATGATCTGGAAAGTCCCGAGGATTTCTGATATTGGAAATGAAAATGTATGGATGTATGCTGGGATTACCTAGCTAGCCCCATACCCTATGCCATGTGTATCTTCCAGCATAGGCTATGGTATGATTCGACGACACAACTCTACCCATTTTGTGTATTTGATAGTTCACAGGATCTTCGATCCAGTTAGCGTTTATATCTGATTCTTGCATTTTGATTGTGAAAAGAAATTCATTAAGATGTATATCTCTGGTTGACCAAGGTATAGATAGGTATACTTCACTCTCCTAATGGCTGAATGAAACACTACACCCTAGCCAACGAATGAAATGCACATTGCGTTATTCAACATTGAAGTATGTGAGTGGGTAATGCAAGTCCAAAAAACCAAAAAACCATAAAAAGCTTAAAAATATATATCCTAAACGAGAACGAGGGAAAATCACCCCATCATCTCACGACTTGTCCACAGCGGAACCACCGGGTGAGGTGTGGAAGTGGCTAGCCGTGCTAGCCGTACGACTAATTCCCGCAGTCGGGGTAGTAGCAGCAGGACTAGCCGCAACAGGGGATGCAGCAGTAGCCTGAGAAGCCTGTGTCTTCTCCATCTCCTTCTCGGCGTAGGTGGGCGGCTGGGCCTGGCCGGATACGCTGCGGGAAGGGCTCGCAGAGCCAGCAGGCGAGGTAGCAGCGGGGGAGGTGGCGGTGGGAGAAGCGAGGGTCGTCGCAGCAGCAGCCAGTGCTGGGGCGCGGGTAGCTTCCTTGATAACGGACCACCATTTCTCTGCGTCATTGGGGGTGTGGGCCTTGAAGCTGAGTTCGGTGTTTGTGTGGAAAGCGTTACCGATTTTACCGCTGGAGACGTCCTTGCCCTTTACGTTGAACTTCACGCCGTCGATGGCGCCGACGACGCAGTCAGGGAGGTACAACGAGAGTTCCGGGGCAGGGTCGCGACGGAAGTCGCCGTTGTCCTTGAACTCATGCAGATAGCGTGCCGGTGTGACAACGTAGTAGCCGGTGGAGTAGCCCTTGATCATGGCGCGCGAGCGACGCTCCAGGGATCCCTCGATGAGCGGTTGGGTGGAGCGGTGATCCATGTTCGGGAAGGTGATGCTGGAGAAGGAGCGTGGGGGCGAGTCTGGGTTTACCAGGGCTGCGTCGTTGCGCACGCAGAAGTTGATCCATTCGAAGTCTGGTGGAATGCGCTGGGCGGTACCGAGGATGTCGGCGTACATGGCTCGCTGGCGCTCGAGTTGGCCGCCCATGTGCTGGTGGAATTGCTCCATGGTGCCTTGGATGGTCTGCAGGACGTGTGCTTCGAACTGCTGGAAAGAGTTCTGCACGGCGAGGATATCCTGGCGGTGGTTGTTCTCCTCGTTTACTTGGTTGTTTAGACGGTGGTTGATACCGCGCTTGAGGAGGTAGGGATCGTGGTGTTGCTCGATCTTGCCGGAGGCGGCGGCGTCGTAGGTAGCGGCGTTCTGGCCGAGAAGCTCAATGTGCTTCTGGGTTAGGCCGCGGGCCTTTTCGACGGCTTTGGCGCCCTTGGTGGCTCCAGTGCTCAGCTCCTTTGATTTGTTCTTGATCTCTTTGTGGAGACGCTCGAGGGTGGGGAGAATGGCGTTCTTTAGGTTCTTTTCGCCATCCATGTACATAGTAACCATGCCCTGGGTGTTGTTGCGGAGGTTTTCGAACATACCAGCCACGCCACCCTCACTAGAGCTGAAGTGGTGGCCTTCCTTGAGGGGTTCGTTCACGGCCTATTTCCATTCTTTGTCAATTCCGGTTACCACTACCCCAGCGGAATAAACACCGACCTTCAAGATCTTCTCATAATCCTTGGACTGGGACTTTTGCACTTTGGCAGTAGCAGAGAAATAATCCTCTAGATATCCGCACATATGCTTCCAGGCTCGGAGACGCTCAAGCAGGAGATTGGTAGTCTGGAAACAAACACACCATCAGTTCAAGGTACTCCTTTTTCTTCGATATCACAGATACAGACCTCACTACTATCGGTGTCGGGGATAGCCTCATCATCACTCATGGAAGTACGACGAGTGAAGGCGCTGCTCACGGTACCAGACCGCTGGGGCAGCTTCACATCCGCGGGGCTCACTGGAGTGGACATGGTAGCGGAGAAAGCGCGGGGTAAGGTAGATCGGTGAGTCCGTGATCCAATTCAAGGTATCAACAATGAACAATTGAAGGCGAAATTATATTCTCCTCGCCAAAACCAGGGCTGAAGAGTGATGGTGTGGCTTAAAATGAATAATTTGGGGGGATGTTAGCATCGGTGGCTGTGTTAAGACCGATGCCGATGGTGGGGGAGCGCTAGTCTATGGCCGGACTAGTTAGCAGAGATCCATAATTGAGGACGAGCAGATTTACCAGAGTTATTCGACTAGCAGTTTGCACGATGTAGGATATTCCAAGAGTATCGTTAGGTGGAGAAAGATCGAGGCGAGAATGTGTTCTTAACCGATCGACAGACCCAATGAGGTCACTGTGCCCCTCGTTCTCGCTCATCGGACCAAGCCACTTTGTAACTCCTGTTGGACCTCAGTACATGCTGTGGCTTGCCGCTTGATTATCTACCCAACATTCAGGTTATTTCCAACCTTATTATGTCGGGTTAATCGAAAATGTAATAATCTCTTGGCTCTACAATATATACTCAAGGTTGTAGGTTACTACCATTAACATAGTAACTATACCTTTCAACTCTAATGAAACCTTCGTACTACTAGTAGAGTCCAGGAACAATTTAAAATGTATGGATCAATGGTATTCGGAACCGGCCATGTGCCAATGGAACCTCCAATGTTGCATCTATTGAAAGCGAACAATGCTATTGACACCGGAAGAAGTAGAGTGCTCCGAGGCCGCCTGGGCCCGGACATGGTCCACTAGACTGATTCATCGATTACCTAATGGGATCGACAGCTAATTTCCTAATTGGGCCATGATATCATTGAGTCAAATCTGTTGAGCATTGAAGAGAAGAATTTGATCTAACAAAAAATAATTAAGTACATGCGTCAAAGGCTCGTATGCGTGATTCGTGCTGATGGGCATATGGTAATGTCATGCAGCTCGTTGATATCGGATCCCATTCGTGAGGTAAAAGAAAAGTAGGAAAATCAAAACACCCGTGACCATCTATGAAAATATCCCTTGTCTATGATTGAACGCCGGAGGGGGAAATGATTGAGAAAAAGGGAAATGGAAATAAAAAGAGGTGGGGAGTTGCCGCTAGTGAACGGTAGAAAGATTCAGAACAATGCTGCGTGAGAAGTTCCAGATTGATCGAGACTAAGGCTCGACAACGGTAGTTAATGCTGGGGACCATGATCGTTCGTAGAAATGGAGATGGGGGAGAGGAAAGAAAAAAATGGAGAGAAAAATGGTCGAAGAAGGGTTGAAGGGTATGGCGGTTCGCGGGGGTCTCAGTGTCCAGCACCGGTAGGAGAACTTTTGGTGAATATCGAAAGCGGAAGATCATGCGTGGATCCAAGGATCGTGACCATATCTCATGCTCTGGCGCGAGCTTGCACAAGTCTAAGTCTGCGTTCCTCATCATCAGCATTGGTGCCGTGAGAATTGAAGTAGCCGGAGCGGGTAGGCACCTCTAGGGGAGTGGCAGCCCCGCTTGCACGGCCGCTGCGAATATAAGCCTGCTGGGGGGACTGTGGAACCGACAGCGTGGGAAGGCTGCTAGCGATCACGGCGTTGTAATCAGGGAGACCAGAGTCACGCGGACGCACGGCGCAGCGCACTGCAGTGGAATAACTGGGAACCCGGCTGAGGGTTTCCACCTCGTCGTACTGAGGGTGGAAGGGAGTTGCCATTCCCGAGGGAAGGACTTCAGGCTCCACTTCATCGGATGGTCGACGGGAGAGTTCTGGACTGCCATGGCTGTGTGAGTTTGATCCGGAAATCGCTCCGAAGTAGTCATTAGAAACACCCAATTGGCGATGAATGTTGTATCCATCTGTTGGGGATTGGGATCCGTGCAGCCCGTGTAGTCCCTCGCTCGGAGCGGATGTACCGGTATTGACGGGATGGTGGCGCGGACTTGCGTTCAGGTTGATGAGACGATGATGCAGTGCCGAAGCCGAAATATCGGTGTTGGTCAGGGCGTTCATAGAGGCGAGGTTTTCTGACGAGATGTTGCGACTGAGAGGAGTGAATGGCGTGCCCGGACCACTGCCGGGACCTGGTGTGCGATAACCGCTGGGATCCAGCTCGCTATACAGCTGATCGAAGGTGTGCTCGCCATAAAGGGGAGGCGCTTGATGCGCAAACTCATCGACGGCGATCCGGGTAGACTGAGGGGTTTGGCCGGTAAGGTTATTGTTGTCATCGATGGCAAGGTGTGGTGAGATGAAGATCGAAACTGGAAGTGTAGCACGGAGCTGTATTTTGGTGTTAGCCTGACAGAAGATTCGTTAGTGGTTCTACTATGACTAACCTCGCTGATGTGGCCGTCGGGGTTGTGCAGCTGAATACGGAACTTCAACTTGTGGCGGACTTTGATTCCCTTGGTGTCTGTATCCTGCAGACAACGGGTCAAGGTCTGGGGCATGTCTAGAACGCGCGTGCATTGGTATCCTTCCGCCGATTCGTCGATGATCTCAATGTTGTCCTCGTCCAACTCGTGCTCGTCGGTCAAGATCGTCCGTGTGATCTTGTATGTGTTGCGAATGGAGTCGGGGTCTTCAGGATTGAGGGTAAGATCGTGGGTTTCGATCAGCTGTGAGGTAATTTGACCGATACGAAGACCCTTGAGAAGGGGAATCAATTTGAAATCGACAGTGATGGCGGTTCCAAAGACGATGGCTTTCGTCGGAGTACTGATGGAGTATTCAATCTTGTTGGGCCAGATATTGTCCACGGACTGGGAGATTTGTCAGTAAAAAAAAGAGTCCATGAGGTCAGTTAAGCCGATAACCACTTACCATTGCATGTGATAGCTCTAGAGCGCTGGGATCCAGAGTGCGAATGATCCTGAGCGGTTTGCGCGCAGTAATGTCCTTGACGTACTTGCGCCCGATCTCGGCCTTGAAGCGGTACATCACCCACGTCTCGGCCAGACCTTCGACACTCTCGGGCATGGAGCCCTCAAGGATCACATCAAAGGGGTACTCATAGTTGCCTGCAGGGAGAACCTCGGTTTTTCCTTTGCCTGGGTCGCGGAATGTCCAAGCTTTCTCGTAGAACACCCGTTCACGCCATGACTTACGGCCACCGGCGGATGCACTGGAGGGAAGGTGCCAGCTGTGAAAAGCGCTTGTTAGTGGTGTTTCTTTGGATTTAGGAAATGCGACACATACCACACGCGGGACATGCCCGTCAGCTGGAGTCGGATGTGTTTAATGGTAAGCGGCTCGGACAAACAGAGGATCAGAGTGCCCCGCAGATGGGCACTGGCGGCCTCATGTTCACCACCACGAAACACGATATACTCATCATTCAACCTGGATGAAGTCAGATATGCAATTCGCATGTGCTGCAGGTGTCCCGCACTCACCTAATATCAAAGTACTTGGCGCTGCTGGCGCTCCCGCCGCCACTAAAGAAGCTGAGAGCCATGTTGGAATTTGCCAGCAATGGAGAGATGGCAAGGGGAATAAAAATATGAAGAGGAAGAGAAGAGTCAAGAGATCAAAAGATCAAAAGATCAAAAAAACTGAAGTGTACCGGTATTTTTTCCGTTTTTTCACTATCGCTGATCTACCGGAACATGGCCAGATACGCCTGGTCCGACTCTTGGGTCCCCAGTGGAGTTGCCTGCCGTTTCCGGCGCTTTTCTTTTTTTTCTTTTTTCTTTTTCCTTTTTCCTTTTTCTTTTTTTCCCTGTATTTCTGTATTTCTTATTATTCCTGGTGGCAAGATGTGAAATGACTAATCTCCAACGGAAATAGGTTCAAGAGAGCTTGGCATAGAATGAAGAGAAAAGTAATACTTTACAATAATTAGGGGAATCAGTGAGATTATAAAGGATTTTTGAGAGATTTCTGAAGAACCTTAGAACCGTCTTAGCCGGTTAATCACATCAAAATGAGCCCTGGAGTGCCTGTTATTTTACGTCAGCGCTATCATATGAAATATGAATGTCAGACCTCTAGTACATACATACATTATGTACCTACATATGTACTACGCCTTGTAGGGTACGGAGTATACGGAGTACAACATACGCGTACTGTTAGATCACTATTTGGTCTCTTTGCCATTAAATGCAGGGCATTCTGCATGCAGATTAAAATTGGATTAATATAACATACATGAATACAAAACCTCTCAGCTCACGAAGACCGAGGTCCATTTACCCATTTTTTGGTCATCACGCCATGCAATGTTGCACATACCTCGGGATCGCCCTTCCCGCATGCTTTTTAAGATCTCTGAGAATCACACAACGTCAACGTACATATGCCTCTGCAGTTACACCACATGAAATGATCTATTTCATACTTCAGAACTTGGTGTCAAATTAGACCCCACTTGGATGATAAACAGGAGATCTATGCTCCGTACTCCGTACCAAGCCTAAGTATGCTCCATCGGTGTGCCTTCAACCAGTCGCGGCACATATAATGTTAGACACCTACCAGGCTCTGGATCGCGCCACTCAAAATAAAAAAGATGCCTTGGGGCTTGGACCCTCGGGTTATTTCAATCTATTATCCAACTGCCGCCCGTTGACGCTAATAAGAAACTACCTAGGTATTGCCCAAACACACTGACAAATGCAACTCTCAAATGGGACCATATCTTCCTGCAAGCGCCGTGCCTGAAAATCCCAACCGTACATATTAATGCATGAGATCGCGTTTGACTTTAATTTGGCAAGCTTAGCCCATCTTAATCTCACCGGGAACATTCGGAAATATCCGCGATCTAACCGCCTACAGTAACCCAACACTTACATCACTCAAGTCCCTGATGAGCATTGCGGTAAGAGCGGGAACCACCTCTGATAACCAGACCCCCCACCGAGCTGTCAATACCCGTGGCGTCGTGATAGGTTCAAAGCGGGTCAGAGATATTGCGAGGCATTTCGCCTAACCTTGGGTGAAACCAAACAAAGATAAGGTCTCGGGCAAAAACAACACACAGACGTATTATGCCTTTTTTTTTGCCTTGTGTGGCCCACTTTTGCGGACTTGCTTCGGGCAATTTGTATACAGTGCAGTGAAAGCCAGCTCTCGGCTTGCTCCCGATGATGGTGAATGCCGACCACGGGCCCAGTCGGGATGCCTCGAATGGAACTCGGGCATTTCCGCTTCATCGGATCGGAATCCCGAATGGGTGCCGATTTAGTAGGCAACCCGAGTGTCTGTGCAGTTAATCGCCTTGTTTTTTTTTTCTATATACTGGGCTTCTCGGTGTGATATTTTAGGCTGAAACTTGGTTTGGTATTTTTTTGGTATTTTTTTAATTCTTTTGACAGTGCGCCTGGGCAAGAATATCCATTCCTATGATGACCCGCACTAATCTAATCTTTTGATTTTAATCTAGTCCGTAGTCAACCTTGGGAGCTTACACCTGAGCTGCCTTTTTGGTTCGAGTCTAGAATCCTAAGAGTCTGAACCCTGCAGGCAAGCCACTATCTCTGTCACTCAATCACGACAGCCAAAATCTAAAAAGCACCAAAAGCACGAACACAGACCAGGGTCAAAGCTATCTACAAACAAATTTTCAAGGATATTCGGCCCCACTCCGAGCAGATCATCGACGGTGAACTTTTGCAGACTCTCCACTATGAAATTCTCGGTGAGTTCCAGAACTTCATGTCCACCCGGATTGCATCATGCCGGAAAAAAGCCAATAATGTGGACACTTTCTTTGTTTACGCGTGTGTCCATGTACTCCGTAGATAACGTACAATAATAGACAATAATAGCGATCGTGTAATAATTGAAGACATGTCGTCATCGTGATTGACTCATCTTGCGTTTTTAGTATCAAACTATTAGCCGTGTTACACCGCTGAACGCACTGTACAACATGCAGACTGCATATAAAACACGCTTGAAACATAAATGTACATTGCATCAAGCCATGCTCCATTTTCAAATGTCAAGGAGCAAATATAGCCAATCACTAAACATCCCTCAACGCCTCATTCAGCCCTGGAGCGCAGCTTATCAGTTCGGTTAATATTTTTTTTTCCAGACGGTCAGATAAGAAGCACAGGGTCTTTGCGTCTTCACGTACCAATAATAATCGCTATATCCAAATATCGCAAAAGATCTGCTCCACCAAATAGAATTGAAAGAACCAACACGTTGAAAAAAGCACAGTTATTAAAAAACCCTAATAAACAGATGGTTGGCACAGACAATTATTGCTATCCAAGCGTAGCAGTGCCGTAAATCCTTCGGTAGTTCTTCTGCCGAATACAGGATATGGCATTTTCCGGTGATCGCCAGGGGGGAGCTTGCAATATTTACTCCGTTAGAGCGGGAACTAAACAGAGATCGCGTGGATCGACTGCTAAGATGGACGGAAAAGAATTTTTGCACTGAGGACCTCGGGCCAATTGCATGCCGGAATCAGTCCACATGCTTTGACAGGGTCTTATATCGGGGGTTTTTTGGTTCGGGTTTTCCCGTGGTCTAGATCTGGTCTGCCATGTTGTAAATCATACACAATACTCCGTACATCTCGGACTTCATCAATGTCAACAATCAGAAAGAGCCAAGGCATTTTCAATACTCTTATACTCGGAACATCCATCACATCTAAAAAGACAAAACATTTGCAATTGCAAATCAACTCTGGAAAAAAACTGCTCAAAAACCACCCAAGAACACCCGGTCAATTCCATATAATCGACTATATCACAACTACTCACAGGGCTGATCGAAGCTAGCGAGACCCTTGCCTAGCTAGGCACATCCCGGCTGCTTAGCTTTACAACTTTCCATTTCGATCGGCAGATTTTGAATGCCGTCATGGGTGTGGAGCCTCGGTTGTCGGAACTCAACGGTACATTTATGCAGCGACCAGTTTGGAATCTAGAATCGTAAAGCTACCTCGGTACCGAGCATATATATGCAGGCCGGACACATGGAAGCGCTGCTTGTTATACTCCGTGCAGATCATACGATAGTGTTCTTGTTGTCGTCCACTGTGGGCCTACCCCTCTGCCCGATCTGGATGAATGGGCTGACAGCTGTAGAGGGGTGGTGTTATAGCGTCTGTTTGTGCCGTATCGGATCTTGATACATGTAACGCGCAGTACTCTGTGCTTGATGACATGGTACACTCCCGAGGTCTGTATCGGATCGTGGTCACGGAGCCAATGAGATCCAATGAGGAATGTAGCCTTGATGGATTGTGGGGAAGCTGAAAGCTTGGTATTTTTCAATGAGATTGGTTACACCAAACTTAGGTTGGCATTGCAAGCCATATTTGCCGAAAACGGCGTTGTAATATCGACACGTGGAAATGTGTCACACGACACAACGGAATAAGTGCTCAGTGTAATAAATGAGTTTTCCCAGTCAGTCAACTCCTACATCTGATTTTAAGAGTCATGACGAGAAAAAGCGGAGAGAAAAAAGTCTGAATTGGACTTTCATTGTGTCCATACCACCTGGTTTCCGTTTTGGGTTAAAGTTTTTGGCCACCCATCACCCTGATGAGCTTAAACCGACGATCGACCATTAGAGTTTGTTGGGGTAAAGATTCCAGGCGTTGATCTAAATATATCATGTCCGGGGAATGGACCACTTGGTGGTGATGTCAGTAGAATTGCCTAGGTATGGAAGGAACCGACGAGCGCCATTAAATACCATTGACTGCCATCCACCAGATCCATTGTGTACTTCAATTACGCAACGAGTGGATACTGGGGCATGGATGAATATATTTAGTGGGCCAAGTATGTATTATGTTCAGTGATCACAATATTGATAACATGGAAAATGGGAAGAAGCAGAAATTTCAAGTCGCAATGATGTTTGGAACCATCCTGTTCCAAACAAGATACCAGACCCACTTGGGCCGATTTGAAAATCATGAAGACGTCAATCAAGAGAGCCTAGCGGTCAAGGGACAACCGAAGTAGGTCGGAGGAGGCGGTAGGAGTCGTATAGCCGATGGTCTAGGACATCGATGTCTATAACAGACACAGCCCAAAGACAGCACACCGAGTATATCGAGAACAACGGGGAAATCTCGGGCCACCTGCAAATCAACGTGCCACGCCGTATTACGATTAAGCGAAGCACAAATGCGGTCCATAGAACTAAGACAACCCAGAACCATGAAATAACATGATAGGATCAGATCATGAATGTTCGATACGAGTCTCGGTCCAGCAAGGGTATCGAATATTGAGGCGGACGGAGGGAGAAGGGCGTCGACAAAGCAGCAGGTTGAAAGGACGTAAGAAGTCCCTCAGAAGATCCACCCAAGAATGATATAGAGGGCGATGCCAGCGGCAATGCACATGCCTGCAATCTTCAGCACAGCCACGGAATCGCCTTGCTTCGCCATCCGCGTGAGTCGAGTGGCGCTGCCTTTGAGGTTTGTTGAGAAGGAGGAGAATACATCGCTCTAAGAAGGTAGGATTGTCAGTCGCAAGTTAACACGATCGAGGCGCCAGTTATAAGTATCTCCAAGTGACAAGCAAACGTCCTGGATCATTATCGGTCTGTGAATAATTGTTTAGGACATACCGTATGGTCGAGAGTGTCCTGATCCCGCGCATTGTCATGGATATCGATCGTCACGGAGCGTAGAGCTGAGACCTTCGAGGAGAGGGAATTGAGGAGCGCATTATTCTGCCTGTTTCAAAAGATTAGCGTTCCAATCGAAACATGATTCCTTTCGTAGAGGCACCCGATGGGACAATGTGGAGAAAGGGGGACGTACTGCTCGCGTTCGTAGGCGTCACTCATTTTGGATATTTCCAAATTTCCCTCGATATTTCCGGATCTTTGTTAGGAGCGATGCAAAGCCCGCAGGGATCAAAAGATTGTCACAGAAATGAGTGAGGAGGCGGAGGTGAGTGGCCAAAAGCCTGGGGAATCGGAGCCGACGTCAGCTCAGTGGCAGATCACATGATCGTCGATCTTCACTATGTGGAAATTTACCACTTTGCATTTTCGTGAGATCTTTGAAAAGGTGGAGTTGAACAGAGTCTACTATCACTCAGGTCAAAGGTACACTTTAGGGCTATGCATAGCACGCCGTGTATATAGGCGCATCATCTACACCACAGGCCCACTCACTTCGTCACGGAAATTCCTGATGAGCAGATTGCTCATGATAAAGCTTTTGAATTGCTATTTGCAATTGAACGAGCTATGCTGATACCTACGATAAGGCTTTGGATGAAGAGAGAATAGATGTTCAAGTTTGACACCTTCTGATAGTATGAAACTGGGCCTGAACATTTCCCAACTTAAACCCTTGCGTCATCCACTGGATTCTGCTTGTGTTCTCGATTGTTATTCCTGTTATTCGATCTACACCTAGGGCCTATTGGGATAGATAGAAAAATATAGAAGATAAGCTGGGGAAGGTGTACTTGACCTATATTTTTCGGACCCACACCCGTTCCCCGCCTTGGATCGACGTTCTACCCACGTAGAACAGCTCAGATCACCACTTGTCGTGGTGACAAGATATGCAAAATGGCATCGACTGAAGATGAAAGGCCATTCAAACGAGCCCGTCAAGCTTGCGAGCCATGTCGGTGAGCTTGAAGTTTGAGTGTCCCAAGCTGGGAGCCAATTTGAGCTAACATTGCTCCAGCCGGAAGAAGTCCCGTTGCCCAGGCGAGAAACCGATTTGCTCGTACTGCGAGCGACTAGGTCAACAATGTGTGTATGCAGGAACAGAGAATGGGGAAGAAAGCTTCGGCCACTCTCAGAAGTTGATGGTAAGTATGAATGATGCCTTGACCCGAGCGGATTCTGACGTGGAATAGGAACAACGCATTTCTGGTATTGAAGGCAAGCTAGAACAATTGATGGAATACATTACGTGTGTTGTAATATTCTATATTGTGTTCTATTTGGCTAATTGAGGTCCTAGGCGACCTGCCCCAAATCACCTCTCTTTGCCGGTTGTCCCCGAGAATAACCCTCGGATACCAGAATTTCTGCCAACGGAGAGCTCGTCCATGTGAGTCAAGTGTGGGATTTAATTACAGGAGATCTTTATTGACGAATGAAACAGATCCGGATCATCTGGGGTCCCAAATGCTGACCTTTACCTAACCTTTTGTAACGCGCAGCCCCTTATGTTATTCCCCAACAGGTCTTCTCTGGCCTCCCTGGGAAAGCGGGACCCCGAGCTTCTACTTGCAATTGAAGCCCTTGGGGTCCGCTTCAAAAGACCAGGAGTCATTGACCAGGACATACAACTAGAAATTAAGCGAAAAACAGACAGGGCCTGTCAGATGGTCATGATGCGTTTGGCGTCCGGGACTGTGGAGCTATCTACAATTCAGACTCTTTGTCTTCTAAGTATGCTGGAATTTACAGGTAAACCAGTCCTAGCCTACGTCCTTACACTTATTACTAATGTTTCGTTTCATCTGTCCAGCGGGCCATGTCATTCGTGCAGGGTCTTATACCACACTTGCCACATATTTGATGAGAAATCTCAGAATAAATGGCCTAGAGTCTATAGGCAACTTGGAAACCGAACGTGATGAGCGCAAGCTTTGCTACGTAAGCCTGGTCATGCTTAAGAATCTCCAGGGTTCCCTACATCCACCTGGAGATACCTTGGACTTACTCGCAGAGGCAGGTGAAATCACGTCGCCATTGGGAGCCATGATGTTCAATAAAGACATTTCCCGAGGTAACAGCGGTGACTCCAAGCTAGACATTGGAATCAATGGCACCAGTGTTTACACAAGCGAACTGTGGGCGATGGCAAGTAATTATGCCGCCAGCCATGTCGGCATTGACGCTCATCCCCCGTGGTCCCCAAACTCTGATTACACCATGATCAATTTTCGACACTGTGAGCACGAGAGTCTCATGCCGCTGAGGTTCCGACTTCATGCAAGTCGCTTCCAAGATCATCCTCCCGCCGAACTCCAGGCTCATCGCGACTATTGGAGCCCGTGGTTATTCTTCCAGTTAGTCTGGCATGCGGTGCCTTGTTTAGTAAACCATCCCTTCCTTTTATCTATGCGACTTCGGAACTTCCGGAGGACAATGCCCCAATCATTCCTCCGCAATTCTTTCGAGCAGTTGACCTTCCACTCGGGCTGGGTTGTTCATTTCCTCGAGCTTATCGAGGCAAAGAACTTCGAGGTATCTGATCCGATCATAGGGCAATGCGTGGCAATTGTCGCTACGATCTATCTTCAACATAGTTTTGTTGAGGATGAAACTTTTAACAGAAAGGCGCAAACGGGATTTGAGAAATGTCTTAGATTCCTACGGAACATGAGTCATCGATGGCCTCATATCGATCGCCAGGTTAGTCTCCATCAAGCTGTTGCTCTGGTTCATTGGTTCTGATGTAGGCTCTAGGTCCGACAATTGCAACAACTCCGGGACAGCGTTTCCTCCGGAGGCCTCACTACAGGCAACATCGCGCCAGGGGGAACAAACCCTCGTCAGAAGTGGTCTGTGAACCTGCAGCTATTGTGGAAAATCTTAGTATATGCCCATGCAAGTAACATATCGGATCCTGCTAGCGACATCTTCGGCCTGGAGCTTGCCAAAGACAGTGTTGGATGCTCCGGGGACCCTTCCGCTGGCGCTATCACTGACCGTGATTTTGCTTTGATTGGATCCGCTGGAATCTCAGGCCACAAGACAGTGGCCCCGGAGTGTGTCACCTATCCACCGGAGCAAACTGAGGACCCCATACAAGCGCAAAGTCAGAATTCACCGAGGATGGACTTTTCAGGACTTCCGGCGGACGCCAATATGGAGTTTAGCGGGAGTGATACGTTATTACTACAGCTTCAGGATTATGGGAGGGCGTTCGAGGATTGGCTAAACGTTAACCCACCGTGAGGCTATTTTCAATCTCATCCGGGGAACACGGCCCGGATCCGGCTTTCCGACCGCCAAGACGGTACTGAACCGGCCTTCCTTACCTACACCCCCACACTTTTCTAATCTTGAGAAAACATTCAACCGATTCCAGTTTAAAAACACTCCTCTGGCTATCAGTCTGTCGCTCAAAATGACCACAGCTAAGACAGACTCAATCCTGATCGTGGGCGCCGGCGTCTTTGGTCTTTCGACCGCTCTTGAACTTAACAAGCGCGGATATACAGATATCACTGTTGTCGATCGATTTGTACCACCATCAGCAGATGGAAGCAGTGTTGATATCTCGCGCATTATTCGCGCCGACTATGCGGATCCAATCTACTCCCAAATGGCCCGAGAAGCATACAATGGATGGACCACTGAGTACAAAGATCAATACTTCGAATCAGGATTCGCCTTGTTCTCGGAAACGCCTAAGAACGCATACATGGAGAAGTCCAAGGCTGTGATTCGGGCGGCAGGTGGCAAATTAGACGATCTTGACGACGCCATGGAAATCCGCAAACTCTACCCTAGCGTTCAAGCCAACTTTTCTGGCATGAATGGATATCACAATCCGAAAGGTGGCTGGGCTGATGCCGCAGGGAGCATCCAAAAGCTTGCTTCCAAGTGTACCGTGGCGGGTGTTTCTATCTTTGCCGGACCTCGCGGTACTGTTATTTCCCTCCGCCGGGAGGGCTCCCGTGTTGTTGGTGTCAACCTTGTTGGAGGGCAGGTATTGCTTGCTTCACAGGTGATCTTAAGCACCGGAGCGTGGACTAACCGTCTCTTAAACATGGGTCATGCGGCATCTTCCTCTGGCCAGCCTGTTGGCTTCATTCAGTTGACCGAGGAGGAGGCCCTCGAGATGAGAAAAATCCCAGTTATGATCAACATGAGCTCCGGCGTCTTCTCATTCCCGCCCACACCGGACACACATGTTCTCAAGCTAGCACGCCATGGTTACGGGTATGCAACCGATATCACTGTCAATGTGGACGGTGTTCAGAAGTCGCTCTCGTCGCCGAAGTTCGAAAGCAGCAATGCGGCCACTGGATATTTGCCTGACGATGCGGATGAGTCGCTGCGACAGGGGTTGCGTCAATTCTTCCCCAAGCTGGGGGATCGTCCTTGGATGAACCGTCGACTGTGTTGGTACACGGATACCCCCAATGGTGATTTCATTATCGACCACCACCCAACCATCCAGGGATTGTTCATGGCTACTGGTGGCGCAGGACAGTAAGTGTTGATCTAAATTCCCAATCTGCACAAGATGGCTTCATACTAACCAACCTGGCTTTAGTGGATTCAAATTCCTCCCTATCCTGGGCCAATATATCGCGGACTGCTTTGAGAACAAAGCACCCGAAGCTTTGCGTCAAAAGTGGAGAATGAACCCGCCCCAGGGTGACTCAAAGGGACCCATGGCAGGCGATGGAAGCAGAGGAGGCCCCCCACTGAGGAAACTGAGCCCGCTTGAACAAGCCAAGCTGTGAATACGAAATAGGACGATGTTACGATGATATATGATTATCCAATGTATTTATCACTCACTATTTTACTATTTCACATGAAATGTCATCTGCGTGATGCCTGAACAAACCCCCAATATAAAATACGCCTCACCCGACGTGATAGACAGACCGCCTAGACTCTAGCCATTGTTCCTAATGCACTTGACGCGCCTTCCCGGCCCTAACTACGCAACAGCTTCGGTCAGGTAAGCTTGCAAGGAAACCCTGGAATTAGTCTCTTCGGGGCCGAGGCACAATTGGGTATGTCTCAATAATAAATGTAAATTCTTCTAGTGCAATGGGGATTAGTTCCAAGTCTATATGGACATTTCAGCAGTCATTCACCTGCTGGAAGAAAGAAAAGCATCGCAAAAAAAAGGCGATCTAGAAATCAAATTTAGGCATCAAATTACTATGTTCCGCATGCATTCCTCAAACCTGAGGACCAAATGGAGCTAGGTCATTTTCATCCCTATTTGCAGCCCGCGTGTTGGTAGCAGTCCCCATGGCAAAGCTACCATCCTTGCACACAGGCCATTCATCCTGTCGGAGCCAATACTTCTCATGGGAAGGCGCACCTTTCAACATCCCCTTCAAATCCAACGGGTCTGCAAAAGTCTCCCACTGAGAGCGGCGGTCAATCCAGCCGGGACCCATTCGCTCCGTGCGACCATCAGGACACAGATAGCGTAGCTTCTGGCGAGGTAAATGCCGGCCAGGATGCATCAAGTTAATCCACCAAGTGAACAGAAGCATCGGGCCCAGCTCAAATGCATATAGATACCATTCATTGCTGAGAATAGGCCCGCAGTTCTCCCGACAGCCGAGATTACCAAACATCTCGAATGCTTCGACAGCACGGAAGATACATCGCAGCAAGACAAGAGTCGATGTCCCGTAAAGTGTAATGCAGATCATACGGACATTTGGCGACAGCATCCGAGCTCGAGAGCAGCGGGCGTGGACGGTTGCAACGACCCCGATCACAACACATTCAACCACTGCTTGGAGAACAAGTCCCGCAGCGACGAGAGTCCCACCGGCCTTATACTTATCTAGGTCAGGGCCAGCTGAGGCATTCTTCGCTGCTCCAGCCACTGTAATTGCTTCTACGGCTGCGCCGACATAGACGAAGAAGATGAGGACACGGTTGGGGTTGAGGACCGCGTGCATTGGCAAGTAGTTCATGAGGCGTCCGACGAGGTTATATGCGGCGGCTGAGTAAACTGGTGGGCCGACATAGATGAAGACTGTTGATGCGATGTAGAGGTTTAAGTTTGCTGGATGGTAACTCGATATGCAGCGAAGAATCCAGCCCGCGGTGAATAGGGTTCCACCCCAGCAGATGAAGAAGGTCACACGCCAGAATCGATAGCGGCTGAAGGTGTTAGAGCAAGCATGGTGTCTTCTCAAAATGTTCAACACTTACTAGTTTTGGTAAATATGCAGAAATAGAGACGTGCCAACCAAGGCGGCAAAGACAGCTGGCAGTATATGACTTGGATTGTACAAGTAGAGATTCACCTCTGCATCCGAGTTATTTGAGGTCATGATGGAGTCTAATTAATTGCGAATTGAATATGGGGATGCTGGGTGATTGCATGTTTAAATACAGACCATGAAGCGCCAGATAGGTCTATATCGGGTTAGATCGAGCTGTGCTGGAATTCAGCCCCATTGATGTTCCACTTGTGGACTCGTGGGCGGGATATCCATGGATACTTAATGAAATTAGCCAATCAGCAACGCCCAACTCAGCCTTGGGGAGCGGTACATTTGACCCAAAGTGGTTAGACTGCACAGCCAACTAACCTCAAACCGATGGTTTGGGGCTGTTTTTCGTCCTGATCCCTTTTTTAGTGCAATATATTGTGATTTCATAGCCTTCCACGGCGTACTCCTCACTAGATAGAAACGCCCCCGAAGACTTGCAGTGTCCGTTTTAAGATCCACACTCCGCTCCCCACACTCAGCTCCCCCGCCATGCCGGGTGTCCCAACAGGTCGGGCCTGTGACGCATGCCGCAAGCAGAAGAAAAAGGTACGTGCAATAAAGACGTGGCGCACAGAGCCCTTTTTTAATACGATGTTAAGTGCGATGAAAAACAACCTGCATGTGGACGATGTCTTCGTCTGAAAGTGAGCTGTGTGGGGTCTGGTCAGCAACGATTCAAGTTTAAACAACAACAATTTTCCCCCAAATCAAATCAAAGCGGTCAGATGATTCTCGCTCCGAGATCGAGATCGAGATCAACGGAAGAAGAAAAATATTCTGTTGAATTACCCCGGACATATCCCTGCAATAGTATGACATTGTTGATGAATTCGTTTGTCGGCGCCATAAAACGATCCACGGACCTCCGATACAATATGTGGTGGTCTTTCGGTCTCTTTCTGGAAGATATACCCCGACGACTCGGCAGTAACGAAGCACTCGACCGTGCAGTTGACGCGGTTACCACTGCCCACGCAGGCTTCTGCACCCGCCAACCAGTTTCGACTGAAGCACTAGCGAAGTATTCATGTGCGCTAAAGACCCTACGAGTTTATTTAGATAACCCGCTCCAAGCAAGTGCTTCCAGTACACTATGTGCCGTGATGATACTTTTAGTCTGCCAAACATTTATCGGAAATAATGGGCAAATGATGTCAGGACACGCGCAGGGGGCTGCCAGCATTCTACACGCACGAAGGAACTTTGGACCACGCGATGATTTTGAGCGTAAATTGTTCCTCTCTTTAAGGGGAAGTCTGGTAAATCATCCACAAGTCCTACTACTTTCCTGACCCAAGCTGACCACACCCCAAGTTATTCGAGGGTTTATACAACGATGCTATCGATTTGAGCTCCGAGGAGTGGGATGCCTTAGCCAAGAGTGACTTTGATCAAGACCAACCCGATGGTCAGATTCTGCGATGTCTAGCGCGAGCCCCGGTCATAATGAAACGGGGCAAACAAGCTATACGCGACGGCGAAGATTTAACACTCTTGGCGATGGAAGTCAGACCAATATACGAAAAGTGCAAATTGCTCCTGGGCGAATTGAAAGCACGAACAGTCGCCTTTGAAACATCGGAGCTGGATACTATGCCACAAGCGTTCATGGCCCGGATATTGCGAGCACATTATCTCCGCACCCATGGAATTGGTCTTGGGATCACAACATTCTTCAATTGTATCCTTCAGGCACTGGATCCCGGTGACTATACCTGCAGGGTTGAATCGAGATCTCTTGTTGGAGATATTCTAGTACATGCCCAAAAGTCCAATGTGTACAGACCAGTTGGAGCAGGATACGTGATAATGTGTCTGTCAGCAGCATGGGCCGCTACTTCAGACCCCCAACTGCGGTCTATGGTAGAAGTCGCATTGATTGACTACCACGGTGATTTTTTGAACCATACTTGTGTGAATATACCCCGAGAGCTGGAACGGGCGAGCGAGAACTTATGGCTCGGAAGGACTGCTCATGTCAATGTAATTTTTAGCCCCTGAGAATATAGAGCTATGCAAGATACCTAATTACAATCATTGTCTTTCTTCTAGGGTACTAGTATTAGGGATGGTTATGAGTAGGAGTGGAAGGGACATAACAAAATACCAATTCAAGCTCAATGGTGTAGCCGCAATCACATTCATCCTTTATCTACAAGCCTCCTTTAATTTTAATTAGATTTAAAGCCTCGTTCAACTCTTTGTCAAGGGTTAGGCGTGCAATAAAGACCAATAAAACGGTAAAAAACAGTTAAGACAACGGAAAACATGAGATTCGTAGTCTCAAGCCCTGGGTGTTATACAGCTAGAGTGTTAGAGAGTTTCAAGGGGTAATAAAAGGTGTAGTTCAGTCATATAAGACCAAGACACAATACTCCGACTAGTACTCTCAGATTCGATTTTTATCTTAGTCTACTAATCAATTTATCTATTGCTCTATTTCATTGATAGATACAATAAAAGCAAGGTGACCTCTAGGTGCTGATGTGCTAATTCAACCCCAAGGGAAATTGAAAGTGAATATCAAGTGAGAGACGCCTGACAAACAAGACTGGCTATCAGAGCAATCATCAATTACTATTGTTGCTACTGTTTGCCTTCATCCGATCTTCTGGCTTTCACTTCTCACATACTTGCTTATATCTCGTCTTTCTTTCTTTCCATTTCTCGCCCAATTGCTCTTTTCATCTTTGTGACAAACTCTCCCTTTTCTCCAACCTCTCACGTCTTTAGCAAACGTGTCTCTCCTTCACGTACCCACAGAGCTCATTATCATGATTGAGAGAAACCTAGATTACCCAAAAGATCTCAATGCCTTAATTCGCACAAGCCCACAATTCGCCCTCATGTGCGGCGACAAGCTGTACAAGAACCGTACAGCACACGAACACGCCTACATCATCCTATGGGCAGCTAAGCGCGGTCTCGGTGGCACAATTTGCAAGTGCCTTAATGCCGGTGCCCAGATCAAACGACGAGATAGATTTAGGTCTCATTTGGCCGATCGCGATGCCCCCGAGGTTTTGAACGTCATCCCGCGACACCCAAAATCACATCCCCTGACCACAGCAGCCGAAATCGGCTCGCTGTCTTGTGTCCGTGTTCTCCCTGACCAGGGCGTTAATCCCAACTTGCTGGACGAGCACTACGAAACTCCGATGCGATTGTCACCGTCAGGAGTCGTTACCTGACCTCACCACCCCTCAGTAGGAGAGGTGATAGCTACATCAATACATCATCTTATCTTCTCCTTAGCTTTCGGTGCCTACAGAGACAGGCCGCAGGAAATGGCTACGTCCACATTGTCGAGCTGTTACTTTCTTACGATGAGGCCGTATTCACCGGTGCTTTCAAGCTACGAAGGCCTCTAAAACTTGCTGCAGCTTGCGGCCATTTACCTGTGCTCAAAGCTCTCTTGTCTTTCCTCGAGCGCGACGATCGGAGCCTCACAGTTAAAGGCGCTGCCCAGATCATCCTATACGAGGGACTCTGGTACCGGAAAGAAAATCTCGTCACATATGCACTCGAAAAAGGTGCCGATGTGAATAACGACACAGAGTTCGTGGTACGGTTTGCTCCTGATTTGCGTCCCGATAAATTCCCCGAGAGACCATGGCCCAAGCTACTACAAGGGCACAAGATTGGATTGAATATTCGATGAATGATCACAAATGGTTGGTCACATATCACTCTAAACATACTCCACGCCGCTCTCCTAAGTGGTCGTGGGAATCTAATTCAGTTGATCCTTGACCATGGGTTTGAAATGACTCGGGTTACGCCCACTCTGCATGATGTAATCGTTCAGGAAAATACCGAAATAATCCCTCAATTGACATGGGGGTCACGTTCACCTCTGAAATGTTTCGGAAGTCTCTTGATGGCGTCGATCCGGAGTTGAAGGGTTTCCTGGAGACTCGCATAGGTAAAATCGTGGAAGAACTAGGCCTCGAGACTTGATCCTGCTTGTAAACTTGTACTATGGCATACCGAGAAAATAAAGCACTTGAACATTTAAGATCTCCTTGTTATTGGTGGGACTTTTTGGGTAGACCGCTAAAACAGTTTTTGGTTGGTACACAGCCGGGGGGGGAAAGAACCAGGTTATGGCAAGCCTTAGAAGGGCTGGTAGTCCGTTTATGTAGCGGTATCAGTGTAGAATATACTGTTAGAATACCTGTTCTGATTGCAGGTATTTATATGAGATATGTGTGAGAAAATATATATTGTAGCCAACCGAAAGCCTATAAGTGAGGAGACCGGTAGTTTCCTCAAGTATTAGATCCCCATTTCGAAAATTGTAGCACAGTATGCGTGAACCCCTCATCATTTCTAACCTCCGATATGACCCTGGAAGTGTTGTTAAATTTCATGGCCCTGCGAAACGCTGATCTTCCATCGGATGGTCGTGGCTCGTCAACAGTGATAAACCCTCTTTTGCGGTCGACCATTGCATCCATTATTAACAAGCTCCATGGTTTCTCTGTGGAAAAGAAAGGGGAGTCAAAACTCCATTCGGCTCGAACCTCCGCGGTGTTTTCAGCGACATCAGCCTCAGCGGGTGATGTGTGCATTTGAACAATGATGGATCCGCCATAAGCGACACTGCGTGCGAGGCCCTCTGCGTGGGCTTTTATAGCAGTGGAATCGTCATCGCGTAAACCAACTATTTTACGTAGTGTCCAGCTTGAAACATATTAGTCATTATAGGCAAGAAGAAATCAATTCGGAGACTTTACCTTCTTCCTTTGTTGTTGTCACCAAGCCAATCTTTAACCCAACCAGAGGATGTCGTCAAGAAAGTTGCATCGGATTCTCCTGACTGGTCCCAAAAGCGATGGTCACTTCCGTTACCCGTCAGGAATTCTCCAGACTTGATTTTTGCTTCCTTTGAACAATCAATCCAAAGATCAAAATCGACTTCGGTCTGTTCACCTGCCGTGTGCGTTCCGAGTAATTGTAGAGATATATTCGGCGGAGATGCGAGCTGTGCGATCAGAGAGGCTCCAGAGTTTGATAATATGGACATAGTTCTTCGTTCTTAGTGGCTAGAAGATCTTGTTGAATGAAATGAATTCCAATGAGGGAGGGCTGGGGGTAAAAAGCGGCCTTCCGCTCATTTATATAGCGTGAATTGGGCACATATAACGCATAGTTCACTCCACGTAAGCACCTTTCAGTGCCTGAGCAGGGTGATTTGTGGTATTTTTTGTGTAATAACAATAGGATATGACTAGGGGCGACAATGGAGCGGGGAATCTCGAATTTCAGCGTGTGATGGCCCCTGCAGCTGATAGGCGTGGATCGTCCATCTCTAGCCAATTTAACTACGAACTCGATAGGTCGTTGTGGATGTGACCACCTGTAGGGTGGTATCGGAGGCGGCTACTCCGTATATATCTGCGGTTATCAAATAACATCCGATAACCTGGGTTCGTTGTTTGAGGACTGTCCAATTTGAGTCTGATATCTGATTGGACAAGTACTCGCGCTATTTTGGGTTCTATCATTATTCAGTATGTTGTGGCGGTTACACGATCACATTTGTTCATTTAGTATTGACAGTAAATGGGCTGATTCAAGCGCGAATGCACGACCTGAAATTATGAGCCGTAAAATATCAAAAATGGGTCCAACTACCAAACCACATGCGTGATCAAATCATAAATACTCTAGGGAGGGGTTGAGACATCGAGCAGGGTATCGACTCCTAGTGCCTGTAACAATGTAGGGGTACAATACGACTAGGAAAGCGATACAAGACTCAAACGAGCTTTTAGTCTCTTAGTCTAGCTACCTCGTTATTTTTGTTGTAGCTAAGCTGTTGTCAAAATATCTATAAATCTAAGTGATTAAAGAAGTAAAAGTGGCTGAGTTTTCTATATGGATTAGAGGAAAGGCGAAGAGAGAAGAGAAGGTCTGCCTCAGATACTGTCACATGTGCCCCCACAGGTGAACGTGGAGACCAGCCAATCGGGGCTCTAAAGAATATATAGTATCCATGGATATCTCTGTTCTTAATGGGGTATGGAAGTGGGCTGAGAACCCTGTTTTGGTATAAGGTCCTTTGGGGGCCAAAGGATGAGTCGTCGAGTGACTTGTTTATAGAATACAAACTAAGTGTGTAAATTAAATATGTGATATAAATATTGATTGCTCAAAAACCACCAGGAGCTGCAAAAAAAGCTCAACTGATTTTGAATCTCACCTCCTCAATATGCCGCTAGAAATTGACTCAATGGACTTGGCTGCTGTTCCAGAGGTAACCATATTCCAAGACTTCCAGCAATTGACCGACAGATTCAGTGCCGATAAATGGGCTGATCACATTGAACCACCCATTCTGAACTCTAGAGACCTCACCATAGGACTTGAGGCGAGGGACTACATATACAATACTTCGGTCTCTTACCCGCTGAGCATTGGGTCAGTCCCTGCTTCCGATGATACCGATTTTGGAGCTACTACAACTATTTGAGCCTCGAAGACGAGCTCCTTCTCACCCTAAGGAATGAGAGGGGCAAGACATGGAGGGACATCAGTGTTTCCTTTGAGGATGTTTTCGGAAAGCGATACCATGCTCCCGCTCCGCAGATGAGGTATATTCGGCTCCAAAAGCGCATGGATCTGAATACCGACAAAGATATGGCTGCATTATTTCAAGCCCATGCTTATTGGCTGAACGTGAAATGGCAAATCATTAGTGAAAAGGTATGGCAGAAACTTTTCCAGTGTCTCCACCTGATACTACAAGGTTTATCTCACGCTTTGATCTTAGATGGCAGAGCTTGGCCATGGAGAACAATGGACTCCTAGCTACTGTTCGTCAAGGTGGGTGACTTATCATCGGCCACATGGGGAGATGAATCAGTCCTAGTGATATAAATTCATCGACAGAAGCTTTCGGCCTTTCCCCTGCTGATGATAAGATCACCCGTCTTACCAATAATTTCTCGGAAATCGACCTGCCGTACGAAGGATTGGCGATGTGTTTATCAATGGGAATGGCGAATAGGTCAATTTCCACACATGATTTAGTCCTTGCGAAGTAACCCAATACAAACTGTTGCGCAATGCAAGAAACACCTGTCACATATTACATGGTAAATTGTCAGCTCCTTAACCTTGAGGTCCAGAAGAAACTAAATGTGGTGAAATTACCTACGTCACTAGCTTTGCAGTAACCCGATACTGATCTTTAAACAACTCTCCAGTTTTGACGGGGTAGTAACGTTTTTCGTGATACCGTGGCAAGCTCTGTTCTTCGATTGCTTCTCCAATAGCCGTCGTATGGTTTGGTCGAGAAAATGTCAGAGGCACCTGCAGGAAGCATGGCCGTGTCGATCGCTGTAGTGATCCAGGGAGAAGACGCATTTCGACCCTTATTTATTTGGGAGGTCCTAAACATGACACTCTCTGTATCGTGCCATGTCGTGTTTTGCCAAGCCTGCATGGTAACTTTAAGTATGTAGTCAACATATCAACCTCCCTATCTACCCATGGACATATGTAAGTATACTTTCATGATCACTTGTCTCCGAGAGGGGCGATAAATACAAATAGTCCTATACTATTACAAAAGTTAGTTGGCTTAATAGTTGAACTAACTGCTTAGAGCCATAATCCTATAATCCGAGAAAGACATCCAGTTTTTTAAAAAAAAAAGAATGTTCAAACATTTGCCCATAAAGAGAGAGCTAGATAGATCATGGATGTTTGACCCCGGATTTGTCTGGATGCCTGAACACCTGATCATGATGCTTTGTCCACTGACTACAATAACAACGATTTAATCAAAAAGAAATTCTGCCCCTTCCAATCTCCCTCAGCCCTCATCACCCCTCGTTCCCCCATACCCTTCTCCCACACGCTCCCTCGATCCTCAATGAGCCCCAGCAAGAACATTTCTTGCATGAGCACTTGACATTATGGCACCCCACCATCTTCGTAGGAACACATCGGAGACAGGGGAGCACATGAATCTTGTCAAACGTGACACTGATACTTCCAATGATGTCTCCAAATCATCGAGAAGCGAAAACCCCCGCTTGGACGAGGAGCTCATCACAGCACCTCTATTCTCACTCTCTGCTTGTGAGACTCTGGACACCAACCGTTTGAATATTGAGCAACCTCTTAACGGAGAGCAAACCTTCCCGCAGTATGGATTGCTTGGTATGCGTAATCGACCTTCGAGCAACGCACTGACACAAGATGATCTTGTGTACGCCAACGTGTCAGCACCATGGTCCGCCTTCATCTGCGGCAGTCAAGGAAGTGGCAAGAGTCACACCCTGTCCTGCCTGTTGGAGAATGCACTGATCGCATCCTCCCCTGCTGGGAAGTTGTCGTCGCCTCTGGCTGGACTTGTTATTCACTATGATAAGTTCACGGCCTTTTCCAGCACGCAGCTGTGCGAGGCGGCCTATCTTCATTCTTCAGACATTCCGGTCCGAGTCTTAGTGTCGCCAACCAACTACCTTGCCATGAAAAAGGCATACGAAAGACTGACAGGCGGTTCCAAAAGGCTGAAGGTTCAGCCACTGTACCTCCCGCAGAAGGATCTAAACATTAGCATGATGAAGACCCTGATGGGCATCGGTAGCAAGGCTGAGCAGCCTCTCTACATTGAGGTATGTCGATGCACCTGTCATCTATGCTGACAAGATACTAATAACCTACTCACATAGGTCGTTATGAAGATCCTTCGCGATATGGCCATAGCCAACCAAGGCAAATCCGACTTCAACTACAGCACCTTCAAATTTCTTCTCCAGCGCGAACAATTCGTTAAAGGCCAGCTTATGCCGCTCACTATGCGCTTGGAGGTTCTCGAGTCGTTTTTCGAGCCTGGATCTGTGCCTGGGACAAATCCCAATACGCCAAAGCACCATGTTGCTGATGATACCTGGAAGTTTCCTCCAGGCACTTTGACGATCATTGATTTGAGCTGCCCATTCGTTGGCCAAGAAGATGCTTGCGCTCTTTTTAATATCTCTGTTTCTCTATTTTTGAAGAACCGCCACGACACGGGTCGCATCATTGCTCTGGACGAGGCCCATAAGGTTGATGGACCTCCAATTTTTTGAGTTATTCGTGTTCTCCCGTACTGACACTTGATTTGATTTTAGTTTATGACTTCCACTTCAGCCGAAGCCGCCGATCTGACAGAGACACTACTATCCGTCGTCCGCCAGCAGCGACATCTGGCCGCCCGAGTGTTGATCGCAACACAGGAACCAACTCTTGCACCGGCACTACTTGAGCTTTGTAACGTGACGATTATCCATCGCTTTTCTTCGCCAGCTTGGTTCAAGGCAATCAAGTCACACATCGCGGGAGTTGGGATTGAGGAGAATCCAGACACCACAGAGTCGTCGGCAATCTTCCACAAAATTGTTCGTCTGCCAACTGGAGAGGCTTTGGTATTTTGTCCAACGGCCCTGTTAGACATCGTGAAGCATAACGACCAGGAGAATGAGGAGTTCTCGAGTGCTGCCTCTTCCAGTTGGTCGGATACTCCAGATGATCCGTCCTCCGCGGACAGCGCTCCGATTGTGACAACCGACTTGCACTCCCAAGAGGAGCCTACTTTGAATCGCGTGGTTCAACTCGGAACGTCCTACGCCCACATTCGAGTGCGGAATAGGATCACTGTTGACGGAGGTCGCAGCATGCTCCAGCGTTAAGGTGCCCCCGAAGTTGAAGTGGAAATGCAATGTGCACTTACCATACATGAAAATTTCCCGTTATGGGTTGAACGATCTAAAAAGTGGATTTCTGCGTGTCACCTAAAAGGGACAGGTGATCAATACGGTGCTGGGAATTATGTCTTAGTCTCGAGTTTATGCAGGCTTATTTTTACATCTGGTCATTGTGTAAAATAGAAATCCTGGTGATTCACATTCCATTCGTATACGAATAACCTGCCATAGCTTTACCCAATTTTCTATTTAGATTTCCTTGCACATTCCACGTCATATTCGATGTTTCGTAGAATGCTGACGACGACTCTCAATGCCAGAACACCCAAACAGAGAGTATTATGATCAATGGGTTAGACAAGATGCACTGCGAAGCCAAACGCAGCTTGGCCTGACAGTGGAAGTGTCGGAGAGCACAAACAGATGCTCGAGACCGAACGGGGACCTTTTATTACGACAGTCAAAACAAGAATCTGTCCCGACAAGTAATCTGGATGCTATTTGGACTATTTTAATCTCTCCCAGGAATCGTCCAATGAGTGCTATTCCGACCTTGTGTTCATGCTTCGTGCAACTCCTTATGTACTCCAAAACCCCCTCGTACGCAACCATTTTGAAATCCCAGAGCCTCTCTGAAGGCTAGATTGCCCTTGGACTAGTAAATCCAATAAACTAAGGAGCTAGCTTTTTACTATCCCCATCTTATTTTCGTGTGTGGGTCGGGAGCTGGGTTGAAAATGTGAAACACCTCTTCCCTTGGCTTTGTCCTACTTGCGCTCATAACGACCAAGAGCACACAGAACCCAATACTTCCGGTGTACTTAGACCTTCCGGAGTGATTGTCCAACATTTAGTAATTTATCGAGTGTAATAGGAGTCAATGGCCATGGATTAGCAAATTCAAATAAGCTTTTTTGTATATGTTTAGGTATAGCTATACAGATATATATATATACTTCGATAAACGCTTGATTCGCATAAGATATTTGATACATACAAGCTTCAGGTTGTCTCCAGAGCTACAGGACCACTCGTTTAATTCTCAGCAATCAAGATGCTGCAAAGGAGTTAATCATCTCATGAGTCCTAGGCACTTGGCATCGAATCCAAACGGGCCGCAGCAGTCATCCTAGGGGCCCCGTGTCCTAGCCAATGACTATGACTGCGCTGAGCTATATGAACAGACAATGTATTATAAAGTCTTTCCATTGCAATACAGACAGGAACTATGACGCGCGGCCAGTCAAAATCAGAGACGTTGTACCTCATGGATTGAATCGACGAAAGATTCCCATCTGGGCTGAGAATGAAGTTGCAAGCTACAGATCAAACAGCCCCTCCTCTAGATCACCTTGACTGCAACACAATAGTAAAATTACATCACGGGAACAAGAAGACGGTCCTCGTCAAACTAATCTGTACTCCGACACATGCCTGGGAGCACGAGGCGTGATGGATCAAGGCACCACGGCAAATCAGCCCAAAAATAAAGATTGTCACTGGAATTTGAGAAGACCCTGTGAGAGATACAGGCTCCTGTAACTGCCATAGAGACTATAAAGTATCATATTCCCGTCTTATGTCGCCCCTGGTTTTGAAACCCTCCAACCTCAGGAATATTATATTGTGATCTGACCTCCCAAGATCCGTGACTATTGCCTCGAATTACCCCATTTAATATTGGTTATCACTGAAATCAATCAATATGCGGGTTAACATTATCTCTTTGGTGGCTCTGGCTACTACAGTTGCAGGTATGGAAATCTGCCTATGGGGAAGATGAATCAATCTAACTGTTATATCAGGCCTCACTGTCACCTCCCCACGGATTGGTGAAAAGATTGACCCGGATCTGCCCCTTACTATCAAGTGGCAAGCTGTCACGTAAGCTGCTAGTTGTCCGACACGCTCAGCAATTCATCTGCTAACCAAACATGCAATATCAATAGAACGGACCCGACGACCTTCAGCATCGAACTGGTCAATCAGAATGTCTACCCTCCGACAACAACCATCGTGGCAGACGATATAGACTCTTCCAAGGGCTCCTATACCGTCAAGGCAAAGACATTCACGGATGTAGACAATGGGTATGTCCAATTTGATTACATTATCTTCGAGCTACTAACCTAATAATCAATAAAGAAAGGGATATCAAATCAATTTCCTCTCTCCGGAGAATGGGATTCTGGCCCAGTCTCAGCAATTCCGAGTCACTGAACCGGGTGAAATTGCTAGTAGTGCTAGTGCTAGTAGCTCTGGTAAGGAAACCAGTACTGCACTTGATACTTCGTCCTTGATTTCTTCCACCGCGTCGACAAGTGATATCACTTCGGCTCTATCTTCCTCGACTACTTCCTCTTACCTGTCTTCGACTGCTACTCACTCCTCCATCAGTGCGTCTGCCCCTACCTCGTATTATTCTACTGCTTCATCTTCTATTTCTACCCCTACAACATCTTCTTCTATAAGCTCTTCTGCAAGTGCGTCTACCTATTCCATTTTATCTTCTTCTACATCCACTCCTGAGACATCCTCGTTTTTGATATTCACATCTTCTTACACTTCTACCTTGACGCTTACCACTCCCTCTTCTTCCTCAGTTTCTATATCCACCCTTACAACTTCCTCCTTAATCTCTTCTACATCTACACCTTCAACTTCTTCTTTCATTACAACTTCATCCTCGATTATATCCTCCTCTGCTACCCCGACTACTTCTACTTCCATTACCAAGTCTTCCACACATCTCCCCACCTCAACCTTCCTCACGTCAAGCACTCTTTCTTCTACCACATCCCATTCTACACACACCTCCACTTCTACCCCTGGTCAGTAAAAGATGGAAAGCACGGCTTCCGAGATAGCATTTTGCTCTTGACCCACAACCTGAAAAGAAACAGTCACTAACTCTATCTATAGTCTCGACTTCAGTTTCAACAGTTTCCTCGACTAGTCTGTCCACCGCAACCCATTCGAGCACTACTTCCACCACCACTCACAAAACCACTTCGACTACAACCTCCACTGCTACTGAGTCGGCTAGTACCACCTCTAACGCTGCTGCCGTCCTCATGCCCCCCGCTGGTGGTCTGCTTCTAGGTCTGTTTGCTTTGGTCCTTTAAATTACCGGTATTGGTCATTCGTGGCCTGGCTCTAGGCAATTGGTCGGCTGGAGATTCGGGAACCTAGATATATGAGTTGGAGATAGTGTTGGGTATCTGTGGTAGTTCTTTTGGACAAGGTCTACTATCTGTTGAAGGAATTGTGGAAGACAGGTTACTTTACTAGTGATGATTTATTTGTTTGATGATGTTAATGTTTATGATTTGGACTATGGACCTATGATATGCCTGCCGCCTTACATTAATGAGAAATGCGATAATTATATGCCTGTTTTACACTTTTGGAACTATACTGTTAAATAAGTCTTTGAGTTGGCCGTTACCTCACTTATATTAAATCATGTTTCAAAATAGAGGAGGTAAAGATAAATAAAGTGTGACTTAAGAGGTTCACTTCGTCAGTAGGTAAAGTTGAAATCCCCGAGAGCGGTCTTTTAAAAAGTCGGGGTTGCCGTCTACTGGTTTTGAGAAGAATATAAATAATAGTCCTTACGCATAATGACTATGTATAGATAGGAAAAGGTAATATAGACAGAGAAAGATATCATAGGTGTTGGAAGAAAAAAAGCCACGCTAAAAAGAAAACCGAACCCCCGATTGGTAACCTCCAGGGCTTCCAAGATTGTTAAATCGACTTCGATTACATGATACATTTAGTATGGTGTATCGAGTCATCCCTTAGCAAAAAGTGGATTGTGAATCGCGAATGCAGCATCACGATTTCACGACACTGTCGCTGGGTCGATCCCAAGTGCGGATATGGCCTGCGTGAGAATATTAGTATTACATGATCCCGAATAACAAACAACCTCTTTAAACACACCTTCAAGAGAGGAAGTCATAATGCAATCTTTCTGGAAGCCAAGCCAGCATGTAGGATCTTCACCGACGATTTTGGACTATGGTTTAATTAGTCTTTTGGAGCTTGCAAGCTAGGCGCCAATCAATGCTTACCATGATCGGGGGCAGAAGAGCAGTTCGAGATCGTGGCTCAACTGGGTGGCTCATCTGATCAATATCTTCGTTGAACTTCTCGGTTTGATTAGAGTCCGAGCGCACACGGTTGTCGCCGCTGTCTGCACGGTGGCGATTGGCATTTTGTGAGTTTGGCACTACTATGCTGGATCGATTCCGGGTTGAGGCTTGGTGTGCCCGGGGGCGATGAAGCATTCCAACGCTGAAATCCCACAAGAGAAGGCGACAGTCGTCGCCAACACTGCCGAACCGGTATGTCTTCTGGTCACAACGCCAAGGGTCGAAAGCTACTGACGCAACCCAGGAATTATGTCCTTGGCACCTGGCAACAACCTTGCGCTCGGGGAAAGACCAAATCGTCAGTAAATCATCCTGCCCTCCGGTTACGATATATTTGCCATCCGGTGACCAGCAGACACAGATCAGACCGCCATAGTAGCTGCGGAATATATCCAGTACCCTATAAGGCGTTAGTTGAGGATTGTTCTGTTCTTTTCACACAGGGCAAACGTACTCCTCTTTCAAGTAATCCATAAGCCGCAGCGACCCATCTTCGAGAACCACAGCCAGATGCCTTTGATCTGGCGAAAAGGAGAAGCTTGAGATTTTCTGGTTTGCCAGTTTCCAAAATGAAACCGGATTAGTCTTCTGGTTCTTGGAGTTCACAGACTTGAGGATTTCCAATGGCAACCGTCCAACCTCTTGTTCGGAATGACCATTCACCTCGGGGGTGAACAGAGCATCCTCCTTCTCCTTGTCGTACACGACCAGCATACCGTTGGCGTGGGACGCCATGAACAGGTTCTCAGACCCAGGAAGCCATTTGATATGGGTGACGGGGGAGCTATTAATCACTCCATTCTTGTTGATCCGAGCATACTTTTGCGACATGGGCTCATACCAGATGATATCGCCCGCAGAAGATCCCATCACAATGTCCAAATGTGACGATGTCTTGGTAAGTTCATTAATGTCGTGACAAAGCATGTGGGCCTTGGTGAACAGAACTTTGGTAAGATGCTCCTCTTTTGTAGGCGAATTGAGGTCAAGCCATTGGAATGCTCGGTTGATATTCGCAAAAGCAAACACACCGTTCGGGTCACGGTCGCTCAATCGCTTGGCAGATGTCTCGTGGGTGATGACTCGCGAAACGAACGAAGAACTGCTCTTGATAATGTTGTTCTTGGGCTTCCTTCGCTTCAATGCGTCCTTCGCTGCTACCGGTGGCGCCGCAAGCGCGGGGTTTCCATCTCCGAACTGGGGAGCTGTAACACCTGACTTCAAGAAAGTCGGAGGTTTCTTTCGAGGATCGAGTGTAACAAGAGATAGCTTCACGCCAATTGTAGGGGGTGTGGGTAGTGTGGCAAGCGGGTTCGGGTTAATGATAGGAGCTTCCGATGGGTGGGGAGGCGGTGTTGCGAGGAGTAGGTCATCCTGGAGGATGTACGTTCCTGCCGTAATATAAAATGTAAGCTATCTGAGATTCTGAAGGAATTGAGATATTGTTGGGCCATCAGCGATCGCTGAGCACACATACCCTCGCCAACTTGCAATGGACACCCATTCTCCGGGTGGGTAATCGTATTGTTCGTTTCCACAACAGGGACCGCCATACCATTTGCGGCCCCCGCCGCATATGCGACAGGAATGGTATAGCGCGGAGGGGGAGGGGGAAGGACGCTGCTAGTGGTGTAAGCAAATGATTATCCGGTAATTGAGAGTTATGCAATTCTCTCAAATTATGTTGGTTGGAGTGAAAACACGGGGTGAGGCTTGCAGGTTGAAAGCAGGGGATTGAAGCAAGTGAGAAAGAGCGTGCTTACAACATGATTAGACGTCACTCGCACAGGCTCAATTTGGATTTGGGCTGAGATATGGTGTGACCACCAGCGCAACCTTGGATCAGATAAGGTAAAAGCGCAAACTTTGCCAAGTCTGTGATGCACTCTATTCAACGTTTCCTCCAGTCTTATATATCGATATGCGCAAAGCTCTAATGTGTTCGGAACGAGTGATGGACAAGTTGCAGAGATATGGTCGCAGGGGGCGACGGCGAGTCAACGTGCGCAATAAGGCCGGGAATCGCAGATGTATATATGTACTCGATAAGATGTGTATAATGATATCAGGGTTCGAGATTCGGAGGTTGGAGATGTCGAAAGTACAAGTCGAGACGCGAGAGGGGGAGGATCAGCAAGGGAAATGATGTCCGGGGTAATGTTCGAGCGGAGAAGAAACCGCGTGCCTGGCGGGGACCGGCTTAACTCCGGCTAAGCCGGCTATGTGCCTGACTACATATGTAAGTATCATGATCAATCAAGGGGAAGATATTGAGATCGTTTTACATTTATTTGCACATTAAACTACGGGGTATGGTATAGAACATGAACGAGGACCCTAATTGCCGCTCCCAACTCGTCGCCAGATCATCACCGCCGCGGCGCCCGCACAAACCACCGCTCCTAGGGCAATTCCCCATGACATCCATTTGCCTTCCACATCCTCTTCACTACGCGGGAAAGCTGTGCTGGGCTCCATAGCAGCCTCGGCAATATGAACAAATACCTCCTGGATAGAACTCCACGTAACACTCACATGGAGCGGTGGACTGGGCATGTTGAGCATAGCTGTGTATTCATGAGGCTGGTGCTCGGCTCGCTGCGTCGTCCGATCCAGGTCGGCCTTGAGGGCCACGAATACACTGGGGAGCTCCTCCAAATGAGGATATTTTGCCAACAATGCAGGAATGTAGGAAAATGAGTCTGGGTCCGAGGAATCATACGTGTACGCAATCACGTCGCACTGATCCAGCAGTTTGGACTGGTTCTCCAGTAAGGCAGGTTCCAGCTCACCTAGTTCATCCAAAATAAGGTAGCACTGTTTGCCGCCCGGAAGCTCCACCGTGTTCACTGCAGTACGTGGTTGGATGGTAGGGTGGTAGGTCGTGCTGAATCCGCGGGAAAGAAGTGCATCGAGCAGGGCCGATTTGCCGGATCCAGGGGCGCCCAGAACATGACATTGGACAACATTTCGTCCCACGCGGCCCGGCCGGCGCCGTTTTCTTCGTGGCCGTGTCACTTTCAATGCCGCAGTAATAGATTGGTCGCTTTGGTCAGAGGGCTCAAAGCCCAGATATGCCAAGTATTCGAGCGTTGTTTTCGGAGACAGGAAGGTGGTCATGCTCCACTGAGCAAGCCAGCCTTGCAGTGTTACATGTCCTGCCTCATTGCGGACTGTGGAGGATGGGAACGAGCCGTCGGCCCATGATGCGGGCAAGCCCGGGGTAGGGGCAAACAAGGATGCAAGTTCAGCCTCATTCAAGCCCCCGTCATTATCTTTGTCGGATAGAAGAAAGAGGTTGACAAAGAATCGATAGCCTTCGGGCGACAGTTCGGCAGAAGCGAACGGCGGTACTTCAAACTTCGGGTGTAAGAATTTCTCCTGCAGCGAGAGATTATCCGTGTACTGGAACGCTCGCAGGATGATCCAGACGGTTTCATGTCGCCCTTTTTCCGAGTATAGTTTGTTCAAATGAATAAACCCTTGGCAGTCAATCCCCGACTCTGTGACGGAGTCTGGATGGGTTTTTTGAATGGTTTCCTTGATGTGATTGAGATCCGCGTCGTTCAATGGTTTGGAAAAGCACCGGATTTGGAAATCCTTGAGCTCCTTGTCTGATAGATAACCATCGCGATCTTTGTCGCAGAGATAGAATATCCTTTGTAAAGCTGCTACCGCAGCGGGCTTCAAAGCTGCCTCCTTGGAATCGAACAGCGGCGCGATCGGGTGCGTGACGGCCTTTTGGCAAACGAAGAAAGCTTCGTTGACATTACGATGCTCCCGAGCACTCGTACGTATACATGAGTCAATTTCCTTGAACTCTGCCATCAAAGGAAGCATCTCCTCCTCCACCACTCGCGTCTCACTATGACCCGTCGCCAGGTCGGATTTGTTGGCACACAGGACTACCGGGACATTGACACCCAACGAGCGGAAGTATGGCAGCCAGAAAAGAGCTACCCGTTCATAGCTGTAGTGATCGGAATATACGAGGAGAATCACATTGCATTTCCGTATCTCTCGCGCGAGATTGTTCCGTTCTTGGGGAAGAGCCGAGGTGTCGACGACGGTCGTGGTTGTAACATTTTCGGGGGTACCGAGGGTGGGAGGGATGGTAATTTGGGGGAGGACTGGTTGGATTTTGTTCGTAACAAACACACCTTTGACGAGCGAGGTGATGAGACTGGACTTGCCAGTACCCTCGTCGCCGCAAACGCAAATGCGAACTGGACGAATTGACCTGTCAGCAATGTTGCTGGGAGTGAAGTATATATAACATACCCGATGCCATTTTCGCGTCTAGCGAGTCACGTAATGGTCATAGGCCAATCATGACCTTGCAAGAAGAGTAGGTAGATAAGTTCCAAGGCTCCGAGGTTGATTCCGGATGAGACAATCGCGATACGATAACACCTGGTCTTGGCGCCTAGCGCATCTACATGTTCTACACGTTCCACATGCTATAACAATGACTATACAATTTCTCTACACATCGGGGAAATGCTGTTTAGGCTATAATCTCTTTGTTCTCGATCTCCTTTCTATTAAATATCTAATTAAAATAAATAAGAAAAAAACTCCGAACTTGCCAAGCAACGCTCGTCTTGCTCGTCCACTTTTAAACCCCGAGCCAAGAGACCCCATAATTGTCGAAATACATGGAATATCAGGGGCTCGTGATCACTGAGGGTGTTGGATTTCCAATTAACTATCTATTTCCTTGGAAATATCTCCAACGTTGTACTGCACCTATCTAGGTAATACATACCCAATCTCATTCTGCGTCTTGAGCCTCCCACGAACTGGCGTCCCGCTTTAGCCGTCATCAGCTGGGCTCCGGGCCCACACTCACTGACTAACCGTTACCCTCGAGACATCAACAGCTCCTCATTTCCCTTCCCCCCAATTTCTCACACCCTCGACTTTGCGTTCGTTCTACCCCGATAGTCACCAGCCAAGATGGGTTTCGGGATCAACAATCCGCTACCGGCGTCTATGAGCAGTAGGTTTCATCGATACCCAAAAGCCCACTTCCCCGCAGTCGTGTGCGGCACATCCGGCTGACAGTGGATTCTCTCTTAACAGGCGAATGCAAAAAGGCTGCAAAGATCTTGACATCCTTCGTTGACCCTAGGCAGTCATTCGGTCCCGACAAAGTTATTCCCCCAGAGATTTTGGCCAATGCAAAGGTAAGACACTTAACATATGCCCCGGTTGGGAACATCCATGACTAAGAGACATTTTCCCTCAGGGTCTTGCGGTTCTCACGGTTCTGAAGGCCGGCTTCCTAGGCTCCGGTCGGTTTGGCTCCGGTATCGTTGTCGCTCGTCTTGGCGATGGGTCCTGGTCGGCCCCATCAGCTATTGCGACTGCGGGTGCCGGAATTGGAGGACAGATTGGGTTTGAGTTGACCGACTTTGTCTTCATTCTCAACGATGCCGCTGCTGTTCGCACATTCTCACAAGTGGGAACACTGACGCTGGGTGGTAATGTATCACTCGCTGCTGGACCGATTGGCCGAAATGCCGAGGCAGCTGGTGCAGCCAGCACCAAGGGCGTTGCGGCCGTCTTCTCCTACTCAAAAACCAAGGGTCTTTTCGCCGGTGTCAGTCTCGAAGGTAGTATGCTGGTGGAACGCAAGGATGCGAACGAGAAATTGTACCGCAGTCGTGTCTCCGCGAACCAACTTCTCACAGGTAGCATTCGCCCCCCGCCGGCCGCCGATGCCCTGATGCGCGTGCTGTCATCCCGTGCATTCCAAGGAAATGCGCGGGCCTATGGTGACTCCATGTACAATGACATTCCTGTCTATGACGACAGCCATGACGATGTAGTCTGGGAGGGACGCAGGGGCGATGCCTACGGTCAAGGTAGCCAGCGTGGTCGATCCAACACCGGAAATGATTACGACTACCGCGATAAGCCGCGCCGTGCGAACACCTGGGCTGATGATGTTTATGATCGGCCTGCCTCGGGGCTTGGTCGTTCCGCGACGACCCGGGCCCCTGCCGGCGATTCATATGATGGCTATGGGCGCAACCGGAGCAACACTGCACCATTCGAAGAAGAATATGTCTATTCGGATCGCAGACCTACCCGTCCAACTGCCCCTAAGCCAGTCTTCCAACAAAAGACTGGTGCAGCCCAATTGCGATCAGACCAAGCCGTTGCCCTTTTCACATTCGATGCGGACCAGGAAGGTGACCTTGGATTCAAGAAGGGTGAAATTATTACCATCATAAAGCGGACGGAGAAGGCGGAAGACTGGTGGACTGGTCGGATTGGTGATCGCGTGGGCATCTTCCCCAGGTAAGAACTTGTTTCCTTGCACTTTTTAGAATGGGCGGCTAATTCATTCGCAGCAACTATGTCGAAGCATCTTAGGTTGATGCGCGTCCAATTCTGGTCCATGTAGCACACACGCACACACTGTGATGAACTCTTGATGCACATTTCTCCGGGACTTGATGAACATACGTCCCCCCAACTCTTTGCCCTACATATATCCTGGCGTGTACGGATTCGTCAACCTTTTTTCTCATTCTTTCATTCACGTTAAATTCGGTGCCATTTACATTCTTCAGCGTGGAGTTTTTCGTTCTCATGCTTTTGTTTCTTCGTTCGGGGCGGAGCTCGGGGATTCTATCATCTTGAGTCTTTTTGGTTTTATGCAGAGCATTCCCATCTGATTGTGATTTCCCAGGGTTTCTCCAGAGTTTCTTCGGTTTATTCCATCCATGTCTCATAAGTCTCTTCTCAGTCTCTTAAGTTGAATACACCTATCAGGTTCATCTACATTTTGAGCTAATCTGGTACCAACATTGAACATAATAATCCCATGTACTCGGATCTCTCACTGGTGGAAATCCTTTACATTCTAGACTGGACCTTCTCGTGTCATTGACTTGTGCGAACACTTGCATGGCATATCCAGCTATTGTCTTCGGTTCCCGGGGAAGATTGGATAAAGTCACACGGCGTATGGAATCTCAGGTCCGACCCCATCTACACCATCCATATAGTGTTATTATAGACTAAAAGGAGGCCAAGCGGCTTTAGAAATGGCAAAATTGTATTTTTTATGTGCTTTCAACCATTCACATTTTAATCTAAACGTTCCAGCCTTTGTCAAAGATGAATGTGCTGAGGTGGTCATTTCAGCCCTCGAGGTACTTGGATGCAGTGTCACGAATCGAAGAAATATATTTGCAAGTTCAGCTCTGAAAGGTAGGTAGTACTTAGTTCTTTGGAGTCCGATGTTAGAATTCGAACCACAAGAATGTATCACTGAATCAAAAAGGATGAAGTGGAGAGGAAAAGGAAAAGGAAAGAAAAAGAGAGAACGTGTGTGTCGATCAACCGATCGTCCGTCCCCCGTTTTTTAAATGTAAGTGGAGCCAATAGGTGGTCAATGAATCAAGATCTAAAAGGCCCCAAAGACCTAGAAGACCCTAAATTTAAGAAGAGAAAAAGGAAAGGAAAAAGAGCTAGATACACATTGTAGAAATACTTCTATAGACAACATAATAAGAATCTCGAATGAGTTCAAGATAAGTCAGGTGCGGACGTTTATGTACTCTCTCACCTCCCTCATCTGCTCTCCGCCCGCTAAACTCCATTCTTCTCTTCTCTTCCTTTCTTTTCCCACTTCACCCATATGACGCTCATTTGGATTCGGTAGTATCCGAATGTCTAGCACGCTGCTACCGGCTCTTTGTCTCTATTCCTCTTTCCCCGCTTCGATGACCCGTTCCTCCTCGCTATCCAACGTGGTTGACACTGCCCCCTCCTCTTAAGCTTCCATTCGGGCTCCGTCTTTGACGTCTTTTGGTTCCTGTACAACTGGCTTCCCATGCAGGTGCGTCGATTTCCCCGGTTCCTGTTCTTTGGTTCATGTGGACGTGCCTTGTTTTTTTTGTCGAGACCTCCCCCCTCAACCTCGAACCCCTCAGGCACCACCATATTCTTATGGAATTGGACCCCCTTCCCATGGAATTTGAGAACAGGATCTCGACTTCAAATTGTCGCATTGTTGATTCTAATCATATTTCGTACACGTTCAGGCTTCCACGAGTGCCCACGAGGCAGGCGGGCATGCGACGCGGAGAGGTCACGCCGCCCATCTATCGATTAGTGATCCAAGCCACCATGTGACGGAAGCTATCGGACACATGTACAACGACGATTACGATCGTAATGATCCGAGACGCCTGAGTTATATAACAACGCCCCTCGGCGAGTCAATAACAACCATTCCGCACGTCGCTGATGGATCCGAGTCCTCTCTTTCTTCGTCCTCCCCACTGCATCAATCCTCGTCAGATGTGCAAGCAATACAGACAAATGGAAACCAACGGCCGCCGCTTGTTGCACATCGGTCCTTTGAGGTGGGAGGTGATCCGGGGAATGCCGATGGTGCTCGATTGCCCTCGGACACTGCAACATCCTCTTTTCCTCTCAACGATATCGACTACGAATCGAACCCTGCAGCTGTTGCTCAGGAACTGACCAATCTCGCTGCGATTCGGCGCATGTCGATGGATGTGGCCGCCGCCGGTGACCCTGACCTCCCAGGCTTCGCACCACCCCCCTCCCCCTCAGCCGACGAAAATGACGCCTCCCGGTTATTCTGGGTTCCTGCGCGACTACACCCCGAACTGGCTCCGAAAGAATTCAAGTCGTTTCTAGATACCAAGGCCGACCATATCAAGCGCAGATCCGGCGACTATTCGACTTCAGGTTCCGAACGCCAAGGGTCGGGAGGTGGGCTCCATCGCAAACGCTCTATGTTGTCGAGACAAATCGACAATTCGTCGGGTTATACAGATGGTGCGGATCGTTTGGAACGTCAACGCTCTCAATCAAGTAGGCGAGATGCCATGTTGAGCCCCAACTTGCAACAGTTGGAAACCTTGGTGGACGATACGAACCCGCTGAACAAAGAATCACTCATGCGCAGCATGCAGAAGATTGACCTCGCAGGAAACGAGGACATGCCGATCCTACCACCAGCACCTCTAGGAAACAGCCTACGCCGGTCAACCCGGACACAATATAAGAAAGCTGGGAGTTTGAAAAAGGGCGAAAAGTTGCCCTACTCTAAACGAGTTGGGCGGGGGGCATCTGAATCTGCAGGGAGTGATACAGGACCTGCGGTTGTTTTACCTCAAGATCCTACAATCCCGGGACTCGCCGGTGTCTCCACTGAACCTTCGCCCAAAACGACGCGAGCGGCTCGAGCCCCCTCTGCCTCATCGCATGGCTCGGCTTATGCCCCAAGTTCACCCGCAAGTCCGACATTCGATTCAATTGTCGATCAGCCTGGGGCCGAGCAGGAAGGCTTGTCCACCTCTAGTGGGCGGCCGGATGCTGCTCTGGATCAATCCGATTCAGGAGATACGACCAATGACAGGAAATGGCATTCTCGTATCAGCTCGAATGGTCGATCGACCGCGAACGTATCCCCAGGCGAGCAGAAGATCCCTGCAATAATTGAAACACCTCCAGCCACTGAATCGAGCCGCATACCGAGTCCGCCTTCACCAAGTAGGCGGTCACCGGATCGTGCCGCAGCATCTAAACCGTCACCGAAACCCACACCTTCGAATGACCCGGCACCGAAACGTCCCAAGAATCCTCGCCAATCTCCCCAGGAACCCACACCTTCGCTCAATGAATTTGCCAATAACCCTCAGATGATACCTGGGAACAGTACCCGCACCGACAGTCTTTCATTTATTCCTACTATTTCAGAAGAACGCAAACCTGAAGAACGGAAGCCCGACAGCAAGAAATCAAAAGACAAGAAGGACTCTGATGGTAGCCGCAAGTCTAGTTGGCACTGGTTACTGGGCAGCGAAGAAAAAGACAAGAAGAAGGACAAGGACAACGACTCGAAAAAGACTAAATCAAAGGTTGTCGATAAAACTCATGACAACACACGCCTAGATGTTTTACAATCATCTATCGAGAGCACCCCGCGGGCACGCGAAAGCCTCGTTTTGGACCGCCTTGATCCGAAGCTCGAGGAAGAACGACGAAAAGATGGCGTGAGGAGGGCATCGGGAGACTCAAAGAAAGAAAAGGACGGCATTTTCTCTTCTATTTTTGGTGGTGGACGGAAGAAGCACAGTAGTGAAGGTCACCACCGAAAACATTCGTCACGGAACCTTTCTCCTGAACCCCCAATGCGAGTACTTCGCGCTGATGTCGATTATCCGTGGACCCGCTTCTCGATTTTGGAGGAGCGAGCTATTTACCGGATGGCGCATATCAAGCTTGCAAATCCCCGGCGAGCTCTGTACTCTCAAGTATTGCTGAGCAACTTCATGTACTCATACCTAGCCAAGGTACAACAGATGCATCCGCAGATGTCGGTTGCTTCGTCTGGATCGTCCCAGAGATCATCGAAATCACGGGATCAGCCAGACGAGTATCAACAATATCAGCGATACCAACAGGTAAGCGAAGATTCTTCTTATCCTTGTAGTGAGCAAGATGACTAACAGAATTGCACGGTCTCAGGAGCAGCAACACTACGGAGAAAGTGCCTATGACGAATCTTCCATGTATGACTATGATGACGATCCGCATGATCGCTACGGTAGCCATTCGAGGAGCGACAAGCAGGGCTATGAAAATGGCCAGGCTTACGGCCCAGGCCACCAGCAACACGGACACTCGTCCTTTGGCGACGACGTTCAACTCGATGACGACGATGACGATGATATGTGGTGAATCTGGGGCTGGCATCCTCACTCGTTTCATTTCTATTTCTCTTCCCACACTTCTGCTTTCTCGTTTTTAGCAGCGCACGGAAATACCCATGCTTTTTGTTGGTTCAGGACGTTCCTAGAACATGTATCAAGCCGCGTTCTCCCATTTTCATGCATTACCCATATCCTTTCAAATGTTTCTTCATAATTCCCCGTGTACCAATTCTCAAAGGGGGCCTCGTATTATTACGCACTCATTGGCATCTCGCACCAGGGAAGTTGAATTGCAACTTTGTCAGGGGGTTTCCTGTTTGTTTGATTCCTGTGTCTCTTTTTTTTTTTTGTCTCGGTATCAGCACTATAGAGTGCGGTATACTCGGCCCAACGCGTGGGCCGGGTGTTGTGTTTGGGCAAAAGCCCTGATTTATCTCTTCGCATAGCGTCTGGGGTTTTTCTTTTCCTCTTCTCCCTCTACTTGGTACACCACGATCCTATACCTTGTCTGTATTTCTGTTTTTTTTTTCAATGCTTAACATTCCAACGCGAATGAATCAACGAATGAATCACGGACTCGTTGATGTCTTGTGTCAAGTCCTCATCTTTTTGAACTTCGAAGCCTTCTCCAAACATAATTTTAGTCCATACATACCTATGGATACTATTAAGATTACTTTGACATTTGGGTTTATATTCACAACACTACTGTTAGGATCTACTGGTGTAAACAACGATAGCAGCCAACTAGGTTAGCTATGGCCATGGGTATAAACAGAATACTACACATGTGATCGACTGCATAGTTATGAATTTATAGCGAGCCGTCAAAATCAGTGGTCATGATACAGGCCGTTTAACAGGCTTCTAACTAGAAGACAAGAAACGAAAGCGGTGCAGGCAAGAAGATGGCATATATTCATCTAAACAGACCCTTCAGGACAAATTAGTACCAAAAAACCAACGTTCTCATTGAATTCAAGTTCTTTATTATACCATATAATTTAACCTCTTAATCTCAGTACAAACTATCATATTTGCCACTTTCTATATACTTCGAGCATCTATATCCATCACGGAAGCGGCTCTCGAACGGCAGGGACATACTACGTTTGTTAGCATCGACCCATTAAGACGAAAGAACTCTACTAACAGGCAAAATCTGTGCTTTACTCAAGTCCCACACACCACTGGTAGCGTAAACATCTTTCTCGAGAATGGCGCGGACTTCTTCAGCATCATTGGCCGAGTATACGATAACGCTGCCCTTGAAAAGGGCATCCTTGCCCTCCTCAGGGTGTTTCTCAAAAATGGCACCTCCATCGACGAGCTTTCCAGCCGCCACCAATGGCTTGACTCCCTCGTAGTGGATTCTAATAGATGTTAGCTATGTTCGTCCCAACCTAGCTATCCGGAAAATGCTGTGACAAACTAACCCTTTCACTTGTTTTCTAATAGCCAAGACATTTGGATTGTCGGGGAGGATGCAAAGGAATTCTTTTCTTCGTGCAGTTGCCATAGATCTTACCCCTGTACTTGAAAAACTTTGCGAAGACCCGGAAAAACAAGCTGAAAATGTGTTTGTCTTTGTTCGAAGGCAACGATATGTAAACATCAAGAGAAGTGTTTTGAGATTTGAGATACAGACAAATGATTAGTGGTAGAAGTTATCTTGGTTGGCACCATTGATCAAAGATATAGTCATATCGGTGGGCTCAAAAGTCGGATGAACGCACCGAACTAAATTGGAGAATTGGAGTCGGATACAGAACCCGACGTTCGCCATAGAGTCCCTGAGAAGGCTTTTTAAGACCTATGAATACTATACTGCTATATCATGTTCTTTTATTAGCCGGATGGTTCAATGGCCTTTTTATACATATTACTCGCCATTTTTCATAAGGAATATCAATTTATTCCATCTAGTGAGTATGTTGATGTTTCTACATACAAGCTGCAGCTCATGTATAACCAGAAACTTTAGAGATATATGTAGGGATATAGTGTAAGTTTATACTTCAGCGACTTGTATAGAACAAGTCCATATACCTATGTAATATTCTGTAGATCATGAAAAAAAAGTAGCCTCAGTCGAATCCTAATATCCGATCAGATTTGGGATGAGGCTTAGCCCATACCATTTTAAAATCATCCCCTGAGCACGTGATCCACATACACGTGCCACTTCCTGCCTTCCAAGGTTACCCCACCCACGTGATACCAACACGTGACTGGCACATGGCTCTGTTATTGGTTCCCCCACCGTTTCCCGCATCGATCTCTATCCGTATCTTATCGCTGAGCTATCAAGATCATCGCGAAAAAAGCCACTTTTCACCTTCATCTCTCGCGAACGTCCCTTACACTTGTCCAACCTTGTAGTCCTTCACAGGGATTGATGCAAAAATCTCCAATAACACTGCAGCCAAATCCATGATCACAGCCATGGGAGACTGTGGCGATGAGCTCTTCAAGGTATGTCGCGTCGCACTGATTCACACACAGTTTCAGCATAGCTTGTTGCGATTCTGCTTGCTTGTTATGTTCTTCTCTGATATCTGTTTCTTTATACAGGAGCTTGAAAGCACCTACTGTCCACCAATTGATCCTGCGTTGTTTGTTGCGATCGTATCAGACTTTGACCTGGCGATCCCCACTCAAGTCGAACAGTTGCGCGAAACCCTGGATGTGTTGAACGCATCTGCTGTTGAGCAAGAAAACTTGCCATTTGACCCCACAGGCACAACCAATCTCCGAAATTCCGATGTCTCGGGCTCTGCAATCGGCGAATCGTCCGACGGCGCACCCTCAGATCCGACAAGCTGGCCATGGCCTGAACATCCTGAACACAGTGATGGTGACTCCAACGGCGCAAGTCGCGACGCTGAAAGACTCAAAGGCTCGAAGCTTGCATACACCTTTCTGGGTATGACAACTGCTGATAAGGCACAGAACTTGATTAGCATGTTCCCGACTATTACTCGCCTCGAAGCTGAGCGCATCCTCGAAGATTGCCATGACAATCTCAGTCGCTCAATGGATGTCCTACTCAATCTTGCTTTCATTGAAGAGACACAAATCGCCAAAGAAATTCCTCAGCACACCCCCAATGAAGCGTCCTCCATTCCCAAGTCAATCGATGGCTTCCAGGCCAAAGAAAACCAGAACGGCGGCAAAAAGCCCCGAAAGAACAAGAAGCAGAAACAACGTCGAGTCGACCTAGCCACCCAGTCCATGAATAATACCGCCACGAATAAATGGGAGGCAGGAAAGAAGGATATCGATTTTCTTTCCTCGCGGGTCTGCACTTTGCAGAGGGAGAAAATCGCGTCGACTTATCATGAGAATTCAATGTCGCTTTGTGCAACAATCAGAGTCTTGGCACAGGCTCATGCACCCAAGGACATCCATGAAATTGAAGACGACCCTGTGCTCATTACGCAAGTGGGGGAGCTCGGTCACAAGTACCCCGGCATCAATCCGATCACTCTCACTGGTCTGATTCGAATTGCGAACAATGAGATCTCAGCCGCAGATGAGCTCGCTGATACCTTGGCCCGCCGGCCGGATCTCACTTCTGCTTCAAATATCATCAGTTTCGTGTCAGCCCCGGTCGCCCTCGACGACGAAGAGGAGAATACACCCCCGGTTCAGCAGACAGAGAGTGCTTCGGATTTCATGGATTTCAGCGAAGCCGCCGCTGCTGCCAACTCCCACTTCGCAGCCCGATCAGTTGCCCTCGCCCAAGCATCCCAGTCCGCCCGCCGCGCCCGCTCCAACCCTCTCTACGGCGGCGCCTCCGCCTATTACCGGGACGTTAGCAATGAGCAACGCCAGCTCGCCATGCGGCACCTGGCCACAGCCTCTGATCGGCTGGTGGCCCGTCAGTCCTCTCAATACGACCTGGATCTGCACGGTGTGACGGTTGCCAATGCCGTTAGAATCGCTCGTGAAAGGGTGCAGGCGTGGTGGGACGGATTGGGAGATCAGAAGTATGTTCGTGGTGGGGGACAGAGCTCCCACGGCGGGTTCAATATTGTGTGCGGTGTTGGTAACCACTCCCAAGACCGCAAGTCACATATTGGACCCGCCGTGTGGAACATGCTGTTGAAGGAGGGATGGCGTGTGGAGCTCAATCGGGGCTCTATGCTGGTGACCGGCGTGAACCGCCGTTGATTCTTTTTTTTTTTAAATTCTTTTCACATGTTAGATTTGCTGTTGAGATACCCCTGCACTGCTGGAGTTTGGGGTTGTTTTGAATGAATGAATATTTTTCAAATTTAGAAAACCAATGCAACACTAGTTTTGGAACACCGTAGCCCATGGAATATGTAGAGACTTGTTCATGTTATAGATCTCTACATATGTAGGTATGTAGGTATCAATCTAGGCCTAAAGGGGTCCCCGAATCAGCTCTAGGGGTCTCCCGGGAATTGCTACAGACACGGCACGTTTTGCTAGTAGCACGGCACATTAGGTAATATTCCCTTTACATAATCAATTTTGACCGAGATCGTTACCATACATTACCACAGCAACTACATTACTTACTACTGTAGCAACTACATTCTATCTACTTCTGCTATAAGAACCACTCTATCTTCTCATTGATCTTACTTCATCCAATTGATCTTACTTCATCCAATTGATCTTACTTCATCCAATTGATACTTGATTTCACCTAATCATGGAGCCACCAATTGAGCAAGTCTTTGAGACTAGAGAGCAACTCCTTACTTCGATACGACAGCATGCCCTATCTCATGGTTATGCTATCACTATCATCAACTCCGCTAAGGAGAGGAATATTTGTCTTGGTTGTGATAGAGGCGGTATATACCATGATCATATTGATGCCCCAGAAGGGGCAAAACGCCGGAAGACAAGTACTAGACGGATGAACTGCCCATTCCGCCTTTATGCAAAGAAGCTTGTTGATACTAATCAATGGGAAATCCAGGTAAGAAATCCTAATCATAATCATGCAGCTACTAATAATATGATAGGGCATCCTATGGCAAGGCGTCCACAGCTTACTAAAGATCAAAATCAAACTATTGAACATCTATCAGATATTGGATCTCGACCGCAGCATATTATAAGTCTATTAAGAAAGGATCAACCTGATATCTTAATAAGACCAAAAGATATTTATAATATAAGAGGTAGTATAAGACAGAAAAAGCTTAGGAATCACTTACCTCTTGAACTTCTTCAACAGATATTAATTCAGAATCAATGGAAATATGCATTTAAACAAGATATAGAAGGTCATGTTCAATTTTTTATGTTCGCTCACCCTGAATCAATTAAGTATGCTAATCAATATAATAGGGTCTTTTTATTAGACTGTACTTACAAGACGAATCGGTATAAGATGCCTCTTTTACATATTATTAGTCTCTCGCCATCGAATTCATCCTATAGTATTGCTTTCTGCTTTATGCAAAATGAGCAGGAAGAAAGCTATAAGTGGACTTTACAGACTTTTTTTTTCATGGCTTGACCCCTTACCCTTTTCTCCAGTTCTTTGCACTGACAGAGATCTTGCTTTATTAGGTGCAATTAAATCTATCTGTCCTAGAAGCCCACATCTACTATGCATTTGGCATATTAATAAGAATGTGCTGGCAAAGACAAAGCAATATTTCTCTTCAAATGAGGAATTTGAGGCTTTTATCAAGTCATGGAAAGAGCTAATTAATTCATCAAATATTGATGAATATAATGCTCAATTAGCTAAGTTCACAACGCAGTTTAATCAAATTGCCCCTAATGCTCTTAGATATATTCAAAGTACTTGGCTAACCTATAAAGAGATGTTTATTAGGGCTTGGGTAGGGCAATATCTTCATCTTGGTAACTGGGCTACATCAAGAGTGGAGGGGTCTCACGCTTTTTTAAAAAAGTATATAGGGGGGATCTTCAGGTGATATGCTTCATGTTTTTGAGAGAATTAATAATGCTTTACAGGCTCAGTATCAGCGACTTGAATCTGATCTTGCAGAAGATAAGATTAAGAGACTAAATTTCTGCTCCCACTTTCTCTATTCGAATATTATAAAGAGAACATCACGATATTCAATATCTTTGATCTCTAATCAAGCTGCTATAGCTAAGAGAGCTACCCCCGAAGCACCTTTATCAAACTGCACTAATATATTCACTAGGACAATGGGCCTTCCGTGTGCCCACCGAATCGCTAGTTTATTAACAAAACATCAACCAATCCCACTAAGCGATATCCATCAATTTTGGAGGATTGGCCTTAGTAATGAGTCATCTATGTATCTGCCAATACTAGATCCTCTATTACCACCACCAACTCGCAGATCAGCTCAAGAGAACATATCAGATCAAAACATCAAAACATCAAACCAAAAGGTCACTAAGAAGAAAGCACCCTCGAAGTGCTCAAATTGTGGAGAAATTGGCCATACAATCCGCTCCTGCAGAGTGTGAAAAGCATGTAAATAAGATGAAAAGCACAATAAGATTGACTAGAGAGAATTGATTCATGGTCGGGTTCTTATAGTAATGAAGCAGTAGTAGATAGAATGTAGTTGCTACAGTAGTAAGTAATGTAGTTGCTGTGGTAATGTATGGTAACGATCTCGGTCAAAATTGATTATGTAAAGGGAATATTACCTAATGTGCCGTGCTACTAGCAAAACGTGCCGTGTCTGTAGCAATTCCCGGGTCTCCCCGCATGATGACGTAAACCCGAGTCCAGGTGCCTATCTGGGATTAGCCTCACCCCACTCTCATCTCTGCTTCAGTTGCCAGTCACTCTTATTGTTTGATCATTTTCCTATCAAACTCTGTCTCTATGCGATCCCAATTATCTCGAACTATCATTTCGCCCCTCAGACACCAAACAGTCCCTATCCGACTTGCACCGACGTTCTGCTCCTCTCGGCTTTTGTCCTCGTCGCGCAAGCCTCCCCATTCGAAGACAAGCACCAAGGCTCTAAGAGCTGCGCCGGCCATTCCTTTTTTCGGTGCCTTCTTCAGCTCCAACCGAACCCCCGAACAACCAACCAACGCCATGTCGCCCCCCAACCAGAGAAGCGAAGATGAGTGGAGAGCTGTTTTGAACCCAGGTTTGTATACCATAGAGGCTTTTTACCTCCTAGACGATATATGGTCGATATTTGCTTACAAGAATGGCTATAGAACAATTCCGCATTCTCCGCGAAAAGGGCACTGAGCGCCCTGGCACCGGTGAATACGATTCCCACTACCCGTCCAAAGGCGTCTACAATTGCGCCGGTTGCGATGCGCCGCTTTACACTGCCGATCACAAGTTCAAATCTGGCTGTGGCTGGCCGGCATACTTTGATTCCATCCCTGGTGCTGTCACTAGACACGTTGATAACACATTTGGTATGAAGCGCACAGAGATCGTATGTACCAACTGTGGGGGTCACCTCGGCCATGTATTTGAGGGTGAGGGATATCAAACCCCCACGGATGAGCGTCATTGTGTGAATAGTGTCAGTCTGCGCTTTACAGAAGATACTAGCGCTGCCAAGGATCCTAAGGCGAAGGCTTGAGGGATTTTCATGACATTCAATCTTCATTTGTTTTGCGGGGAGGGGACTAAGGCTGCAGAAAGGCCGACATGCATGATACGGGGAGAGGCGTCGTTGGAGTGGACCAACCATATTTATAGATCTTGACTTCAAAGAAATTCTGCTGTGAAAACCAAAGGAAATATGCCAACGTACAAATATTTCAAAGATCTACTGTTATTGGACAATGACCCCATGTTACTTTACATCAAACTGCGTGAATGGCATTTTCCCCCATCCGTATACACACCGCAGCCTTAGGCCGCAACCGTTTGCCGACCGCCACCTAAGAATAATTAGGTCGCTCCCATTGTCTCCCTATCCCTTTAACCATCGATACTTGAGTTGCTGCTACTATGTCTCGACGTCCTACTCCGGGGCAAGCTGCCCAAAACTCGCAGACTATCAAGGCTCTGCTGAAACTCGAACCCAACAAGATATGTGCCGACTGTAAACGGAACAAGCGTAAGTGGTCCCCGATCCCCTCCTGGAGTTGCGCCCACGCTGGCTTCATCTCCGGGGCGATTTCTTGGCGCTCATATACTGAATTGGCTTTTGAACAGACCCGCGATGGGCTTCCTGGAACCTAGGTGTCTTTGTCTGCATTCGGTGCTCCGGCATTCACCGTGGTATGGGCACGCATATCAGCCGAGTCAAGTCCGTGGATCTCGATGCGTGGACCGATGAACAACTTCAAAGTGTTGTAAGATGGGGCAATGGAAGAGCCAACAAGTTCGTCGCAACCAATTGAGCGACCATGTTGGGTATGGGCTAACAGGATGCAGATACTGGGAAGCGAAACTGGCACCCGGCCACGTTCCCTCCGATGCGTAAGTGCATTCGAATGGGACTCATTTGGTGGCGGTGGTCTCTGACAATAAATGCGAACAGAAAAATCGAGAACTTCATCCGGACAAAGTACGAGAGCAAGCGATGGGTAATGGACGGTGAGATGCCGGACCCCTCGACCCTGGATGACGGCGATGACGATGTAGTAAGTGATCGGATAATATCTAGTTAGCAGCAACCACTAACTTTCTAGCCTCTTGCGGTTGTGCAGGAGAAAGCAAAGATTGAACGTTCTGCTTCGCAAAGAGTCGCCACTACCAGTCAGCCGCCGGTACACCGTCAACAAGCCTCGATTGATCTGTTCGGCGACGATATCTCTCCTCCGAATCGCCCTAGCACAACTGGGCCTACTCCGCGTGCACCACCTAGACAAGCACAGCCCGCACCGGTCAAGACTCACAAGCCTAATGATTCATTGCTGGGTCTCGACTTCTTCGGTAGCACCCAGCCTTCTACTACCAGTCGCCCGTCTAGCACAACATCCACACCAGCAGCGCCAGCCGGAATGTCTCGGCCGGACCTCAAACAGTCAATCTTGTCATTGTACTCGAAGCCGCAGCCGGCACCACCCGTGCAGCACCAGCGGGGCAACTCCTTCGGCGACATGGCCTCGCCTCCTGCCCCCTCCGCTTCGTCTCACATGGGCGGTCTGACGGACGCCTTCAGTGGACTGAGCTTCCCGACTACTACTACTTCTCCTCCACCCGCCAAACCGGCTGAGAAGCCATCAGCATTCTCCAATCTCTCATCTTTCGGCGGCGCCAAGTCGACTCCTGCTGCCCCGAAGGTCACATCGCCCTCGGGCTCTGCGAGCGGTAACTTCTTTGATAGCTTCACCTCCCCCGACCTTGTCAGCCCCGAAGTCCCAGTCCCGAACAACTTCCGTTTCCTCCGCTGGGCAAGATTTCGGATTCGGTGGATTTACTTCCCCGACTGCTAAGCCTAACCCCCCATCATCGTCCCTGTCAAATGACTTGTTCGGGTTTTCTTCGCCTCCTGCAAATACCTCAACGGCTTCGCCCCCGAAGTCTACTGCAACCTCCCCTCAGCAAGAAATGAAATCCGCGTTTAACATTTCTGCTCCCCCGATCCAGCCTGCTGCTCCTAAAGTGGCAGCCCCCAGCGCTGCGAACGCAGCTGCAGCCAACATGATGTCTGGAAGCCTTGATCCATGGGGCGGGAACGCATGGAGCACACCTGATCCTGCCCCGTCACCTGGTTCTGCCGCACTCTCTCCTGCATCCATGATGAAGGTCCCGGATACCTTGACCCCGAACGACGTGGGCCACGGCTGGGGCGCGCCCAGTGCTGCTCCTAAGCCCGCACCCACTGTGGCAGCGGACGAGGACTTCGGCGGCTGGGCCAGCGCTGCCCCGGTGTCCAACCCCACCTCCACCAGCACGAATAACAAGTCTGGTGGATTTGGCGGATCTGATGACCTCTTCTCCAACGTTTGGGAGTAGACTATATCTTCTTTGCAACAGGTCCAGATTCCACGCCTATCTTGAGTTTCCAGGATTTGCATGATAACATCTGCGTATCTGCAAGCATAATCTCATATTGCACATTGCACATACCGGTGTTCATCGTTTTCGAGATCCTTGCCTAGAATTATTTTCTATTTTGTCCTTTATGCATCTTCCTTTGTCACGACCCCTTAGTCTCTGAAATGTGGGCGGCTTCCGAATGTACGATGGGCGGGTCTCATGCATACTGAATGATCAGCTCGTTTTGTTCGCTTCGACATCTGTACACTTGTCTTACAATGCATTCATAATACCCTAGAGCTCATGCTTGAAGAATTTGTAGGTAGCCTTGAGGTTAGAAACGACGCTAGTTTAATGAAATTGTTGTAATTCCAGCCATGCCCTTTCTTGGAGCCAGACACATTGATACAACTTTGCTTTGGGGTACTGTACTGTGTACATTACTTGGACAATTTGAATCCGCGGCTCAGATGAATCAGTAACCAGCCAGCTTTCTTACCTCGATGGTTCAGGTAAGGGCTCCTTGTATATTCGATGGTACAAACATTGACGGTTTAGCCTGTTGTAATTGGGTATATCATCGCATAAAAACACAGAAAGAACGTATGCAAAAGACCGTCACATAAAAGACACAGGTATATAAGACAAGAGAGAAGACCACCATGCAAAAAGAAAGAGAAAAAAAATAGGAAATATGTATAAAGAATGAACCCGTTAAACCAACCCAAGTCATTATAGATCAAAAGCTATGCTTCTTCACCAATTCATTCGTACTTCCCGTATCGTCATTAACAGCAATCTTGGAATGCGAGGTCCTCTCCAGCGTAACATTTGTCGTGACCTTGATGCCCGCAAAGGCCTCCTTCGCAGGCTCTTTGGTGTAGCTATTGAAGGACTCAGACGGCGACAGATCTTCCAAATCATGGTCGTAGCCCGAGCTGTGATCACGTCCGCCGACGACAGAGGCCAGGACTTGCGTGTTGCCGTTGCCTGTGTGGGGATTGCGGCCGTTTCGTGAAGGCCGGGTGGTCTTGCTGTGGTAGCCGTTGCTCCGGGTGGAGAAAATGTGCGGTAAGAGTCTGGAGAGGAAGGCGCGTGTGCCAGGGAGACAGGCGCAGATGATTGCTACGTTGCACTCGACGGCAGACCAGGTTGCTGCACCGACATTGTCGTCTAGGGGTAATTCGTTAGATCTGGCTTGTATGTAAGGAAAGGTGGTTATTATGTGTTGTTAGTACGTACAGGTTGGGTCGTCCGAATTGGCGATGACGAGGAGTGATTTGAGACGGAGTACACTTGTGATCAAGACGCTAAGAGGATGATTAGCATTGTAGATGATTGTCGTTATATGCAAATAGACTTACAATCCACCGAGCGCGAAAACAGCCATGAGAGCGAACTTTTGCTTCTTGGGCAATTGTAGCGATTTCAGAACTGGCATTGGGTATATGAGGATGACGATATCGGTAATAATGTGGATAGCCGAGTTAGAGAACCACAAGGCTTTCTTATCCAAACAGAAGCCGGGGACAGTTGGATCCCAGAATTTGGCGAGAGGAACACAGTTAGCCCAGGCGCTAATGATGGTCCAGGTTCCGTAGAAACCCAGAACACCGATCATGATCCAACATGCTAGGCGCATACGTGGCGTGGAGAAGACTCGTTTATATTGTAGAAGGATTGACATCTTTGTGCTGATGAGGCTTGTTTGATATATAGGGACTGAAGCCCAGAAGTACTATAATAGAATCATGTTAGTGGAACTGCACTGCGTTGGAGAGAGGTCCTGGTGAAGGGAAGCGTACGATCATCTGAGCCTTGAAGATTGGCGCCGGGATAACGGTATAGTGCTCACCCATACCGTGGTAGACTTCGCCTACCATCAGGCCGAAGAATATCCATGAGAAGGCTAGAGAGACTAGGATGACATAGTCGTCTGCTCCCATCTGCTTTACGAGGAATGCTCGTGTAAATATACGGACGGCAGTGATGAATGTCGCTATAGTCGTAAACACAATGCTGACAGCGAGGGCCTGGTGGCCGCGGGATGTTGATAGAGTAGTCATTGTGTCATCAAGGCATATATAAATGAGTGAAGGCCAAGTTTCGTGCACAGTGTGATTGTGAATAGGAGAACATTCAATGCGTTGAAAGAGAGATCGCAAAGTTCATCTGCTGACTTATAGTAGATATGAACACCACTGTGTCAATGCTTGAGAAGAAGTCCCTCGTGATTACGGGGGAATGGCCCGCTTCTCAATACATATGTACAAAAGAGGGATGAGAGGTTGAAGTATTGAGTGCAAAACAAAATAAGCAGAAAAGCGAGAGGAACACGAGATCTCCACCTGGTTTGAAGATCGACGATCCCCATTCAGCCACCGAGCTAGAGATGGGGCAATAATACTAGACTATTTAATTTCGATGACACGTTCATATTATTCCCAACAGCCTGGTTGTTAGCGGGCCCCGTTCTTGTGCAGCGAAGATGTATAATCGTATAATCGGATATTATTAGAAGAGATAGTCGGCAGGTCCATTTTACATCGTGCTCGGTACTCAGTGAATTCACTGTATATTGTATATTGTATATTATTGTCAATAATATATGCCCTAATATATGCCCATATCCATGGATATACAAAG